TAGAAGATGACTGGAAGATAAATGAAACAAGATAATCAGCCGGGCTGCAGCCGGGACCAGAGTCCTAGTATGAAATAGTATATTTTCAATGAACACAAAAATGAGTTGAGTTTCAACAGATACAAAGATTGCCAATGCCAATTAAAAACGATCTTGCAATAAACAATGCAAAAATTTGTCAGACTGTTGCAAGGTCTGAACTGGACTGTGTCTTTGATATAATTCCTCATTGCTTTTATACTGTTTTTCCAACAAACAAACTATCCGTTTCAATAAAGGATATCCTTGGAGCACAAGGTTTTTTAGAGTGACAAATTTGAAGGATGTTTCTAGACTTGGAAGGGAGATCGGGGGAACTCAAGGTCATCTCTGGTCCCACAAGATTCCTTTGGGATTTTTGGCCTTCTGCCAATTCTAGCAAATCTTGTGTTTCTAAACACCCCTCAACTATATTTTTGACACCAGTCACATCCCCACTGATCTTTGTGCTTTATTTACAGATGCCTTTTTCCTCCTAAATTATCGTCAACACCTGCCATTTTCTTCAAATTTTGGAAAGCAAAGACAAATGAATGAACATTTGTCAGACTTTTACATCTGAAAAAACCCATGGAACATTCATCAAGGAATCAGAGAAAAATTCCGAAATTATCCGAGAAATCATTTGACTAAAGCAGCGTTCTGCAAAAATATTCTTTAGATACTAAAGCAAAATCATGTGAACAAAAAGTCCCTGAATCTTTCGTTCCACAAGGATAAAAATATTTACATCCTCGCTTTTCCAGAAATCATTTGACTAAAGCAGCGTTCTGCAAAAATATTCTTTAGATACTAAAGCAAAATCATGTGAACAATAAGTCCCTGAATCTTTCGTTCCACAAGGATAAAAATATTTACATCCTCGCTTTTCCAAATTATAAAGAGCTGCAAAAATATTAATCTCCATATTTGCATCCCAATAAATGAGGTGGGAGAAAAATGAGCGTTTCCTTGGAAAAGCAATCCCTTCAACAATCGCTGCCATTTCTTTTTACGATCATTGAAAAACTGAAAGAAAGAAATATTAATCTCCATATTTGCATCCCAATAAATGAGGTGGGAGAAAAATGAGCGTTTCCTTGGAAAAGCAATCCCCTCAACAATCGCTGCCATTTCTTTTTTCAATCATTGAAAAACTGAAAGAAAGACCCTCAAATATCATCAGATATCATCTGAAAGAAGCCAGGAACGAATTGGCAAAAGGCAGCATTCAGCAAAATTATTCTCCTGTCCAGACAATAATGAAAATTACGTAAAAGAAAAATATGCTCACTTAATTCTGTAATAAAGGTCGATTAAAAAGTAAAATCCTTTCACACTCTTGAAAGCAGAAAAGATTTGCATGCAAATTTCCTAGATCATAAGCCTCTGAACTTTGCATGCCAATCCAGTATAGAGAGAGAAAAAAGAATGCATTCTCCCATATTTCTTCTTTTCAGTGTACCCATTTCACTTTTGTTCACTTTTGAACTAAAACTCATACAGAAACAGGCTGAAGACCTCATGCTTTAAATAAACTTTTACTGCTGCTTTTTCTTCAATATTGGGGATAGGTGGATGTATGCAGCATATGTGTAGGATGTCCAGTTTTATTTTATTTTGTGGAGTGTGTTCTCTTCTGTTTTTGTCATTGGTTTGTGCTTTGTTTCATGATATGAAGTGATTGAATGTCTTGGGGGGAGTTGAGTTGGGTGGGGAGGAGGTTTGGATGCGGGAGTTTTGGTTGTGCCTTGTGAATGCTGAAAAGCGGCAAATAAAGTTTTCTGTTCATTCATTCATTCATTCACTTTTGTTCAGTAGCCATTTTCAGTGGACCCAATAAGTCAATTAATGCGTGTCTGTTTATCCATCATGATTTTTCATCCATTCAGAAACACACATTTTTGTGATTATACCTTCCATTTGACTTTAACCAGCAAGTTCATATGTTGCAGGTTATTATGGCACCTCAAAATTTGGCCTCCCGTAATTTGACTGTCCTGCAATTTGATGTTTGATAATTTGCAGGAAGGTTGACTTGAAATTTAACCCTTACCCTGCAATTTGACCCGCTTTGGCCAATTTTTTTTTTTGCACGGATATTTTTGAATTTAGCAAATTGTCTTGCTTCATTCTGTTAATGAGGGTTAGTTCATACATTGTGAAAATTTTTCTAATAGATCCAATGCAGTTTCAACGATTGCAAATTTTTTTTTTACTCGCATAGCCCCATTATTTGGCAACACTACTGTGCTTTTATTTCAACGCGGTCTCCACCAATTTTAATTTATTTTTCATGCAATGAATCCTTGGATCAAAACAGTGCCATATACATTGATAATTACGTTATTTGATCAAGCTGCTCTTGGACAAGGAAATGAAGTTGTCCCTGTCCTCAAAATTAACGGTGAACAGCTAGAACAACTAGTAGAGCATCCCCAGTGCAGACAAAAAAAAATGAAAAAATGATTGCAGAAGTGGGATTTGAACCCATGCCTGCAGAACCAGACTGTGACCTGAATGCAGGGCCTTAGACCAAATGGTCATCCTGACAACTCAATGTTAATTGATGCGTTTAAAGTAGGCAAATTAATTCAAGGTGCAAAAGGCCACAGACACATGTTACAGGACGTCCTTATTATTCCCCCCCAGAACCCTGTAGGATCCTACTGGTCATTCCTCCCACTGCGGATGTTAAAACACAGTACGGTGCCCATCATTTTTTTTAGAGGGTTCAAATTTGGACCTTAGAATAAATTTCTGTGACCTAATTCTGGCTGTACCCGACTGTCAAGAATGATCTGATTTTGAGAACAGTAGGAACAGCCTCATAAAGGAGGATATAGTGGGGTCTTGGCTGAAGAAAAAGTTTTATATATATTGACAGGAACAAACTTTCACCCAGATTACAAACTTTTGTGGATTCAAGGAGACACCTCCCGAAATATTGGTCTAATTTTTGCATGTGTCTGCTTTTTGCGTGAAAATTGGCAAATTCAAAGATATAATTTCACCTTTGTTTTGAAACTATATATAATATACAGTATTATGCAGTCTTATTTCCATGAGAAAAATGTTGAAAAGCTGAAGTTAAAGATGGATCTGTAATCTCATATCAATAATGAGCAAAACATTTATTTTTGAATCGTACGAATGAGAAAATAATGGGCATCACTTTCCTTGAAAAACCAGGTGAGACTTTTCAACTTTTGTATTGTAAGCAATACCTTCAGAATATATTTTTTCAATCCTGATAAATTTTGTGTGGATGTGTATAACCCTGAAGCTTAAACTTGCTTTTTCAGCAGTGACTTGATTGTCCCCCTGTTTCGCAGTATGCCGGTGTTCTGTAAGGAGAAAAGATCACTACATGAGATTTGCTTCAATCATGCTGCTGTACAGTGAGACCCCCAGATGCATTCATAACAATTGGTGCATCAAGAGTGTTCCCAACTTTAGTCTTGTTTTCCCATTGACTTCCATAATATAATTTTTAATTGGTGTTTTATGGAAGAAATATTCTTCAAAATTCCATTATAACAAATTTTTGCCACTTGAATTTCATTCAGTGAACATATTTTTTGACCCATTACCAACATTTGGAGCATTGAATAGTATACCACTGTACAGCTCATTGAAATGTTGGCATCTGTAAAAACATCCATTTGATAGCATCCAAGTCACAAAGAGAAAAGGAAGTCCCTATGTGCTGTAAGTAATTTTTTTTAGATTAGGTGAATTGATGGGAAAGTGATGAAGAAGTAGCAAAGAATTTTTCTTGCATATAGTTCTTAATAACTGTTTCTTGCAATTAAGCATAATAACAGTCAATTTTCCTGAAATGTATTGGCAATTTTATCATGCAATGTTATGTTGGGCCTGTCACTGGTTGACTAGATGTTGCCCGCGGATGCCCCAATTACCTTGGGAGGACTAGATGTCGCCGAAGTGGGTATAGCAATGGAATGTACAAGAGAACAACGTGGTGTACAAAACACCACGTTGTCCTTGTATTTTTGGAGAAAATAAATTCCTGCAAATAAAAGTAAGTATTAACAAATGTGCAAAAATGAAGCAAAAACAAGATTCCAAGGAAACCTGACCACACCAGGAATAGCCTTGGAGATAATGATCTCCAAGACTTATTCCACTCATGTGAATCACACAAAATCATGAGAATTAGCAGGACCTGACCAAACAACAATTGGACACATTGGCAGAAATCCTTGAGGAAACTTTCCACCAGCAGAGGAGGACCTGAACCTGTTCCTTTTTGTGTGAAAAAACTGTCACTTGTCTTCTGAGCTCCCGAGAGAACAGACTGCGTATTTTGTGTGCTGCTGAAAATCATCATCAACTGTTATTTGAAACTTGAAGATCATATACACCAAAGTTGAGGCATTGACCTCAGGCCACAAACGGCCAATTGAGTCTACATCATTTCCTTGCTTGATTAAATTGCGCAAAATCATAATCTTTGCCAGAGAGGCTCATTAGCCCCTGACAGGGCCTTTCTTATGATTTTTTTTAAATAAATGTCCCAATGTCAAATTGTTGCCATGTCAAAGTGCCTGCATGTGGGGTCTCACTGTACCTTTTCATCACCAAAACGGACTGCAATATAATAATGTTATTCATTGATGTAAGATGGGATTTTCTATCTACACTTCCTGTTGGTCTGTTTAGGCCAGGAACACATATATACAAATGGGGTTTTTCTCAATTCAAAAGTTAAATAATCCAACACTGTCAATTCACACACAAGAAATCACCTGGAATGGAACACCACACCAGATTTTTACACAATTCAGGTAGAAGAAATAATGCTTCTCCAACAGTTCAAGAGCCAATAGAGAATAATAATTGAGGAAATATATCGCAAGCAATGATGAATGAGTTCACTTTATCATTTTCACAAGGAAAACAAACTTGACTTTGCTTGAAAGGTGGGACTTCTTCAATGTACTGTCACTGTCTTTAAGTCAAAGATTTTTCTTCTCTTCTTTCAGGAAAACATCAGATTTGTGACAGCAGTAATCCGAATCAAGATTTTCATCAACTGGGTTGCACAGGAAATTCAGCAACGGCTGCATCCCGGGGAACTCGTATTGGTCCTTCACGTGAACATCATCACTCATTATACTTCCGAGTCCTTCTGCGTTCTTCAACTGATCAAAGAACATCCTCCAACTGGACCAAACGATCACCGTGTCCGGGTACTTTGAAATCACCTCAAGACTTTGCTGAATGTAAATGTCAATATGCTCGTTATACTGTGTCAAATTGCCGAGCATCGTTTCCGGAAGAATCCAGATGATGGTCTCTATTTTCCAGAATGTGATGAGGTGGTTCAGTAGTCGGTCAAGTCTCGCTTTGTGTATTCCAAGTTTTACTGGTATCGGAAGATGTAACAGGTCAAAGTAATGGCCTTGAACGAATGTCAAATGCTCTGGTGGACGGGAAAACCACGCTGCACCTCCAAACAGGACAGTTGGTGCACCTTCGGGAAGCTGAAATTATAAAAGTACGTGACACGGTGTTATATAGACAGTTGATTGAACACTCGCATATTTATCTTGGATATCTTTTTGAATGAAGTATATAAATGAATAAATCTCATCTCTCTGTTTATAACTCATTGTTGAACTCGATTAAATTTCTAAATCGGTATAGAATCCCTGATGTATGAATTAGTGTAATGCTTGGAAATTTCGTTGAAAATTTATTCGTAACGTTTAATTCTAGAAGCACTTCTTACATTATTGTACTTGAAGAATGTGCACATTATCGATGAGTTGCATGTAAAGATAGTCTTGACGACGAAAATGTATACCCTGAAGTATCTCGCTCATCGTTGTATTGCTGGGTTCAGTAGAAAAAAAGAGAACTTCGTTCTAATGACAAATTCGCCGTCATCAAATTTCAATTACAGTACAGTGATAGGGCTATTTTAATGTATACCCTGAAGTATCTCGCTCATCGTTGTATTGCTGGGTTCAGTAGAAAAAAAGAGAACTTCGTTCTAATGACAAATTCGCCGTCATCAAATTTCAATTACAGTACAGTGATAGGGCTATTTTTGGCATACACAGCAGTACCCTAAAAACAAATTCGTTGTGTCGAGATTTTTCTAAATGTGTATAGTTCTGTTAAGATGGACCTGGACTTGCGGAGAACAAAGAGATATCTTAGAACATTTTCCCGTAATTTTCTTATTTTCGATGTCCATCAAATGATATGTGCTTGTATTTTTTTATTAAATGACTGATTATGAACGCGTAAACTTGTGTATGTGACCCCTTTAATTAATATGTATATACATGCTCGAAAATTTGTAGAAGATTATTTGGCGTGAAGATATATATACTGTATATAAACTACCTCTGTGTAGGGGTTGAAGAAGGGATTCAGAAGGTAGTCGATGGTTGTGTTTGAGTCTGCATCTTCCCAGTGTATATTCAACACCAGTCTAAGGTCTTCGCAATTTTCCTTGCAATCCCGTGTGAGATTGAAGAACTTTGCCAAGGTCAAAGCCTTTATCCGAATGGTCGAGTCTCCGAAAAAGAAGAACCTGTTGTTGAGATTCTTTGCGAATCTGCGCTTGAGACACGATTCCGAGTCTATTTGCGGGAAAATCTTGAGTTTGCAATGTGGCAATTCCCACTTGAGGTCACTTTTCAAGCTGCCGTTGCTTTGGAACACACTGAGGCATTTTTCGATTTTGTCGACTCGGTTATTGTAGATATTCCAGGAAGATGTGAAATATGCGATTGCAAGTAGTTTCGTGATACCCAATGACACGATCAGTTTCCTTCTGTCAGCACTTCTTTTCATAATATTCAAAATTCTGAATACTTTCATGGCATTATTTTTGTATAATTGTGATGAAGTCTATCATGAAGGCCCTCAGCAGGTGTGAGAGGTCCTCAGACCCCAACACAAATATCAGGTTTTAGTGAAATAAGTTTATAGCACAATCTGCCGTTTGCGGCCTAAGGGTCCTGAACCCTCAACTTGTGTTTATCAGCAATGTCCAAGTCCACAAATAATATTTCCCAGCAATAAAAGTCACACAAATAAATCAGCAGGTCTGTTCTCTCCAANGCTTTGTGTATTCCAAGTTTTACTGGTATCGGAAGATGTAACAGGTCAAAGTAATGGCCTTGAACGAATGTCAAATGCTCTGGTGGACGGGAAAACCACGCTGCACCTCCAAACAGGACAGTTGGTGTACCTTCAGGAAGCTGAAATAAGAAGTACGTGACACGGTGTTATTAAACAGTTGATTGATGAACACTCGCATATTTATCTTGGATATCTTTTTGAATGAAGTATATAAATGAATAAATCTCATCTCTCTGTTTATAACTCGTTTTTGAACTCGATTAAATTTCTAAATCGGTATATAGAATCCCTGATGCATGAATTAGTGTAATGCTTGGAAATTTCGTTGAAAATTTATTCGTAACGTTTAATTCTAGAAGCACTTCTTACATTATTGTACTTGAAGAATGTGCACATTATCGAGTTGCATATAAAGATAGTCTTGACGACGAAAATGTATACCCTGAAGTATCTCGCTCGTTGTATTGCTGGGTTCTTTAGAAAAAAGAGAACTTCGTTCTTATTATAAAGTCGCCGTAATCAAATTTTAATTACAATGATGAGGCTATTTTCGGCATACACAGGAACCCTAGAAACAAATTCGTTGTGACGAGATTTTTCTAAATGCGTATTGTTCTGTTCAGATGGACATGGACTTTCGGAAAACAAGAAGATATCTGCTGAAAACATTTTCCCGGAATTTTCATATTTTCGATGTCGATCAAATGATATGCGCTTGTATTTTTTTATAGAATCGCTGATTTTGAACGCGTAAACTTGTATGATATGTGATCCCTTTAATTAATGTGTACATCAGTGTATGCTCGAAAATTTGTAGAAGATTATTTGGCGTGAAGATATATATATATAAACTACCTCTGTGTATGGGTTGAAGAAGGGATTCAGAAGGTAGTCGATGGTTGTGTTTGAGTCTGCATCTTCCCAGTGTATATTCAACACCAGTCTAAGGTCTTCGCAATTTTCCTTGCAATCCCGTGTGAGATTGAAGAACTTTGCCAAGGTCAAAGCCTTTATCCGAATGGTCGAGTCTCCGAAAAAGAAGAACCTGTTGTTGAGATTCTTTGCGAATCTGCGCTTGAGACACGATTCCGAGTCTATTTGCGGGAAAATCTTGAGTTTGCAATGTGGCAATTCCCACTTGAGGTCACTTTTCAAGCTGCCGTTGCTTTGGAACACACTGAGGCATTTTTCGATTTTGTCGACTCGGTTATTGTAGATATTCCAGGAAGATGTGAAATATGCGATTGCAAGTAGTTTCGTGATACCCAATGACACGATCAGTTTCCTTCTGTCAGCACTTCTTTTCATAATATTCAAAATTCTGAATACTTTCATGGCATTATTTTTGTATAATTGTGATGAAGTCTATCATGAAGGCCCTCAGCAGGTGTGAGAGGTCCTCAGACCCCAGCACAAATATCAGGTTTTAGTGAAATAAGTTTATAGCACAATCGGCCGTTTGCGGCCTAAGGGTCCTGAACCCTCAACTTGTGTTTATCAGCAATGTCCAAGTCCACAAATAATATTTCCCAGCAATAAAAGTCACACAAATAAATCAGCAGGTCTGTTCTCTCCAAAGTCCAGAGCAGGATTGATTGATTCTGCTGTTCCTTCCTCACAGGTCCTGGTCCTCCCCAGTGGAAAGCTTCTCCAAGGTTTTCACTGGATCAATATCTTCAGGTTTCATAATGTTTTAATAAAAGATATTTCTGTTATTATCTTGAATTGTTTAGAATTTTCGAGATATTTGTTTTTATGTACGACGTAGCGTTTCCTACGCTGCGTCGCACTTACTGCGCCTTTCCTGTTCCTGCGCTGCGGGCGACATCTAGTCGACCCGCAACAGCAGGGGCAAAATGTTTTGAATCAGCAATTGTTTTCATAAAAAAGCCACTCCACAATAAGTTTTCTGTAATTGAGTAACAGCGGGCAACATATATACATTCACGTTTTGTGCACTTGTAAATTTTTATACCAATGCTGTTGAGCATCACTTAATTCTAAGCAAATAATTTGTGATTTGGGTGCAGCTGAATGTATAGTAAATATCTGCATTATAGTAGTAAATTTAGCTATAATATCAATAAGTTGTAGAAAAGTTCCAAGGAAAATCCAACTCCCAAATTCAAAAAAGATGCCACTAAATAAATACCAATTAGTTGAAATTGAGTTATAGACAACTCCAGAAACAGCATGATTAAGGAGGGTATTATTGTTGTGGGAGTTGTTTGCAAAGGTGCACTGTTGTATAGCAAGCATTATATGTTCAGGTTCAAAGTGATTTATTTCAACCTGAGGGAAACCAATATACATATATAGTCCAGTGAGCTATACAGCCAACTGTTGTTGAATATCAGTCTCAGCTCTTAGCTAGAATTAATGGGGCTGCTTTGAAGAAATTAGTTCCCTGTCCTTCTTAGCTGTGAAAGCTATATATCCAGCTAGGGAGCTGAGGATAACTCAATAATGGATAATTTCTCAGGAGCTGCTGTTGATTTGTGGGAGAAATGAAAAGTAAAGGGAGATGGATTTAGCCACTGTGGCTAAAACCCAATAATTTGCTTATTTTTCATTATAGGTCTCTGCCCAATAGCCCATAATGTTGAAACAGAGCTTTCATAACAATTTTTTTTTGTTTCAGCAAAGGTTTTTCACAGCTGACCCAAACAGGCTTGTATTGTGACAAGATTTCACTGTATGTACATTTATGGACAGTTACAAACATTTGTTTTAATATTAAAATAACTATCCAAAATTTACCATTTCCTTAAAACACACAAGTGGGGAAATTGGTGCACACTGGGGATTTGTTTGTAATTCTACACAGTGACCCTGCTGTGCACCTGAAGCGTACCAAAGTTCTTCTGTTGCACATGCATATCCCAAATGTGCACCAATTGTGTGTTCAAACCAGGATTACTCAGGGTCACATTTGTAATCAAATAAGTTCCACCAACATTATAGTTGGTGCATTTGTGTGATACTCCTGTTATGTCACATTTGCGCACCAAATGTAGCCCAGCAGGAATGGTAGCAAGATTTTGTCTACAGAGGTGCATGCTTGTAACCCCAGAATAGCCCAGCATGTACACCAATTGTGACCCCAGTGTGCACCATTTTTTGATTAACACAAAGAATAGCTCCCTGCTTGGGCAATAAGTCTAAATCAGCATCAGATAATGAAAACGTGCTAATAATAATAATTTCATTCAAAAATATTGTAAAACAAGCATTTGATTTGAGTTGTGGGTTCAATTTTTGATATATGTACAGTATTATAGAATTGAGAAACGCACGTTGTTTCTGTTAATTAGTTAATTAATTTCCATTTGTTGCCCCCAAAATGACAACTAATTACAGTGCCTATGTATATCACTAGCCCACTCAAAAAAAAAAAACCAACCTACTGCAGCACCATTATATTAAGAAAGGGATGACAGAGCCAGATTTTGTTGCATTTTATTGGGATCACTATTTTTTCCGCTCCCCCCTGATGGTGGGTTTTCCAGGATGTTTCATTTTCAAGGACAATATCTTCAGTACGTCAGAATTTGAAAATTTTTTTCATTTGTTCTTACTATTGTTGTTCGTTATGTTTGAATGTATATATGAGAGCTATTTTGTTCAGATACTTGTTGAAGTACTAGCAGAAAATTCGAGTCAAAGATGTTTCTTTTTTTCTTTCAGGAACACATCGGATTTGTGACAGCAGTAATCCGAGTCAAGTGTTTCATCAACTGGATTGCACAGGAAATTCAGCAATGGCTGCATCCCGTGGAGCTGGCATTCGTCCTTCACGTGCAGATCATCTCTCATGATAGTCCCGAAACGTCCAGTATTTTCGAACTGGTCGAAGAACATCCTCCAACTGGACCAAACGATCACATTGTCCCGGTACTTGGAAATCACATCGAGACTTTGCTGAATGTAAGTGTCAATATGCTCGTTATACTGTGTCAAATTGCCGTGCATCGTTTCCGGAAGAATCCAGATGATGGTCTGTATTTTCCAGAATGTGATGAGGTGGTTCAGCAGTCGGTCGAGTCTGTCTTTGTGTATTTCAAGTTTTACTGGTATCGGAAGATGTAGCAGGTCAAAGTACGGATCTTCGTGGAATGTCAAGTGCTCTGGTGGACGGGAAAACCACGCTGCACCTCCAAACAAGACGATTGGTGTACCTTCAGGAAGCTTAAAAAGAATCCGAGTACGTGAGACAGTTTCAGTCAATTATTATTGAACCTTTATTCAATCATCTTATGCTGGATATCTTCTGGAGATTGTGCATAAATAATCAAATGTTATCTCTCTGCAAATTCTTCGTTGTTGAACGTACTTTAAAAATAATCCTCCAATTTAATGATCATGTATCTTGAACACTTTCAAAGTACTGTATACAAGGGTTCTAACAAAAGTTCTTGGAATATAAATTAAAAGGGCATGTAATTGAGACGAAAAAAATGTTCGCAAAAATCTGAAAAAAATCCCAGAACCTATTACAATAGGATGGGCTGAATGTTTTTTTTTTCAAACTGGTACCGAATCTAATAGAAATGCCGAAGATCAATCAGAAAAGGGACAACCCTCGTAAATGCGTGAAGTTTTATACGTGATGGTAACATTTACTCGGAAATTGAAGAAAATTGTACTGCTTACTTATTGTACTGTGTATACTGTACCTTTGTGTAGGGGTTGAAGAAGGGATTCAGAAGGTAGTCGATGGTCGTGTTTGAGTCTGCATCATCCCAGTGCATCTTGATCACCATTCTAAAATCGTCGCAATTGTCCTTGCAATCCAACGTAAGATTGAAGAACTTTGCCAGGGCCATGGCCTTTATCCGAATGGTCGAGTCTCCGAAAAAGAAGAATCGGTTGTTGAAATTGTTTGCGAATCTGCGCTTGAGACACGATTCCGAGTCTATTTGCGGGAAAATCTTGAGTTTGCAATGTGACAATTCCCACTTGAGATCACTTTTCAAGCTGCCGTTGCTTTGGAACACACTCAGGCATTTTTCGATTTCGTCGACTCGGTTATTGCGATAATTGAAGATATTCCAGGAAGATGTGAAATATGCAATTGACAGTAATAGTTTCGTGATACTCAATGATACGATCAGTTTCCTTCTTTTCAGCATATTCAAAATTCCAAATGCTTTCATGGCTTCTATAATTTTGATATGAGATCTGTGCAGACGGAAAAGCCCTGGAGCGATAAATTGTTGGATCAGCAGTTACAGTACTTTCATATATACAGTCACTCCACAAAAAGGTTTCCATAATTGAGCACCGTCAGATGAATTGAAATATTTTTATTCATCTTTTGTCTTTGGACCACCAAAAAAAGCATTACAATCATTCACATATTGTGCAATTGGAAATTCTTATACAGTACCAGTGCTGTTTGAGAATCACACACTTCCCAATAGCAAATAATTCCCTATGTGAGTGCAAGATAAAATATTGAACATTGTATAGGTATGTTTGCTTGTACATATGCTGTATAGATATATACTATCAATAAGTTGAAGACCAGATCCCTGGGGAAAATTCAACTCCCAGTCACAAAAAAGATACCACTGAGTATAGATTCCAATTAGTTAAAATCAATTGAAGTAATCCTTGGGTTCCTGGCTGTCCTGAGGCAAAGTTGGGATTATTTTGGTGGGTTTCCAGTGAAATTTGCTGCAGTTGAACTTGCTGCACTTCAACTTGCTGCTGCTGCAACTGACTGCAGCCTGAAGTTACTTCAGTCACAATTCAGCAGAGCTGCGCCATATAGAGAACAGAGCTGCGCCATTTCTCTATTATATACAGAGAACAGCGCAGCTCTGTTCTCTATATGGCACAGCTCTGTATATAAGAACAGCGCAGCCCTGTTCTCTATATGGCGCAGCTCTGTATTTGAGAACAGCGCATCTCTGTTCACTATATGGCGCACCAGTCATGGAAAATTTCCCCCAACACATTCACCAATTCTGAAAATCACCTGTATCCACCCAACCATGAAAAACGGGTGTATTACGGGTGTTTTGCGCCTGTATCTCTTACGCCTGGAAGGAAAACAGCTGAGGAAAGATCACCCGTTTTTGAAAAAATCACCCATAACCACCCACTCATGAAAAACGGGTGTTTGACGGGTGATTTTTGCCTGGGTCTTTGCGCCTGGATGGAAAACGGCTGATTATTTGCTGGGAAGTTGCTGCAATCATTTCTCACTGCAGTCACAAGGTGTAGTAGTTATATAAGTTGCTGCTCTTTCAACTTGCTGTACTTGATAATTAATTCAGACAGTTCTTCAACTTTTTAAAACTTAATTTACAGCATAACATGTTTGCAATGGAAAAATTTTTACAATACAATGAGATGAAAAATACCTTGCCATCAAAAACAAAATTCACATAATTTAGCCACCAATAGTACTACTTCAGGATGAATTAATTAATTGAAACCCCTGCTATAGATATTCTAAAAATTTTCATACAGCAGAATGCCTATAGTTAAGAAGTGGAAGAATGTGGGAATTCCTTTTTTTCCTGAAATTTTAGTCAATGAAATTGCAAGTGGCTGCAATAATTCATGCAGCAAGTTGTGATAGCAGCAAGTCATTACAGAGGTGAGTTGTTGCAGTGTCAACTTCCACCTGCATTGACTTATCACAGCGGCAAGTTGAAACTGTGTCAAGTTGTGAGAGTTGCAAGTTCAACATCTTATGGCAAGTTAGAAAGCAGCAAGTTTCACTGACACAATTTTGGAGAGAGGTGCATTTCAGTTTCACCAAGTGCCACTGAAATGTCCCCAGGTATTGCCAAGGCCTAAGTTGGGAAAAATCAATCCCATTGTCTCAAGAAATTCCCAATGTTAATCCATGCTGGGAATGCATAAAAAATGCCAACCAGGGAGGATTCTTTTAGCCAAAATTATCTGTAGGATTATCAAAAAATATTGGTCCTTTTCCTCACTTAGGCCTTGGTTCAAAAATCATAGTTTGTTTCAATTTTCTCCCCTCATGTGGACAACACTTGGCAAAAATATCTTGACTTTGCCACACAAGGGTTATAATAACTCCAGAAACAACTCATGAATGAGTGTGATTTGTTTGTATATGGGAGTTTTTGGTTGTTGCACAGTGTGATTTATTTTGCACTGAGGTAAACCATATCAGTAGTTCAGTATATAAGCTGCTGATGGAAACTAACTCAGTTCTAAGCCAGCATATATAGCTACTGAAAATGCAAAGCTCTGGTAGCTATATATCCAGGGAAATGAGGCTAACTCAATAATGCAGATACTTTCTCAGGAGCTGTTTTTAGGTGGGAGAAATGCACAGATTTGGGTGCTATCATTTTTGGATTGAACTGAGGCTAACTCAATTATGGCTCATTGCTCAGGATGGCCAATATCATGCTGTTCACTGGGGGAAATGCACATGTTTCAGTAGTTGATAAAAATGGGACAAATCTTTCATTTTTATTCAAGCTACTATTTTTATTCAAGCTACAACTTTTATTCAAGCTACAATTTTTATTCAAGCTACAACTTTTAATCAAGCTACAATTTTTATTCAAGCTACAATTTTTATTCAAGCTACAGTTTTTATTCAAGCTACAATTTTTATTCAAGCTACAATTTTTATTCAAGCTACAATTTTTATTCAAGCTACAATTTTTATTCAAGCTACAATTTTTATTCAAGCTACAATTTTTATTCAAGCTACAATTTTTATTCAAGCTACAATTTTTATTCAAGCTACAACTTTTATTCAAGCTACTGTAGAACTAAAAGAAATTTTAGAGTTTTTTTTAAAGAAAATTTTCATGAACATTCAATGATTTTAGAAAGCTGAAGGTTGACTCAGAAAAAAATGCAATCAAGCAGTGTCAATGAACAGAATTCTTCATGCTAGATTTCCACTTTTCATTTTGTCTCATCATCCTAACTTTTTTGTATTAAATCATTGCATATTCATAATGATGAATGCATCTTTTGATATTCTGTTTTTCTGATGTATGTCCATGCCAATAACTTATGAGATGGTCCAGTGGAGTATATAACTTTTAATCCTGTCAATTTTGTAAACTGACACTCTGCCCTGGTTCTGTATATAAGAAGACCAGCAAATTTTGAAATTTTTCTCAATATTTGCTTGGTGGAACGCATGAAAAGCATCACAAATATACATGTAAATATGAATTCACTTGTGAAGTATCACTATATACGTACTTAGGGTGTCCATATCGCGACCACAATAATAAATGTATGCATAAAATACGCATATAGTATATAAAACTGTGTATGAAAATTCTGCTGGACAATATTTTCAATCCAGGTGATGAGAAAAATTTTCTGCAGTCACCTGAGTTGAAAGTTATTGTTCTAAATCACGTTGCTGTAAATGTGTTGAGACGACTTTGACATGGATTATTGACACAAGATGATGAAATAATCGTCACGTCCTTGCTTGATATGTTATAAGTTGAAAAAATACTATATGGAGATGACAGTTATGTTGGAATATAAATATGCGGTGTCATGACACCTGAAGTAATAAAAAATTGATTGTGTCAGATCTTGGTGAAAATTTGGCAGGAGAAGAATATACAGAGGGAAAAATGTGATTTAGTCATCAGAACTGCTCATTATTTCTGTGGAAGTCCTACCTGTAAAGAGGGATGTATATAGTGAGACCCTGAGATGCAGATGTAATTGGTGCATACTAAGAGTGTCCTGATGTAAGAATGTCCCTAAGTCAAATCTCATTTCCCTTAGACTTCAATGCTAATTTATTTAATTTGCTCTCTTTTTTTCAAAAATTAGAAGTAAGTCCTAAAAAATTTATCAACAATTTTTTCTGTCAACTTCAGGTTACAGAGAACAACAGTGCAGAACAAAACCACATAGAATCTGATCTTTTGGCATCAAAAGGAGATCAAAAAGCAAAGGAAAAGAATAGGTTGTTCTAGAATGTGTGTCCTATGGGTCCTTATAGACTCCAGACAAAGAAATTAGGTTCAGTGAAATAATGACACTGGGCAATTGGACATTTGTGGCCTGAGGAGGAATCTGCAACTTTGAAGCTTTTATTCCAAAATGATAATATGTTGAACACAGAATACAAGCTTTCTCTGGTGATGTTTGCATGCACACTTCAGGAACAGTAGAGATGAGCATATGATGAGGTTTGGTGTTGAGGTTCAGGTCCATTCCAATGGAAATGAACCTGAAGGCCAGTTTCTCAGAGCTGGGTCCTGTGTTTCATGAGAATCCTTTTGATGAGGATTACTCATGATGTTTCATAATAATTGCGGAATTATTCCATGAAGGTTTCACATCTTCATAGAATATTCCAAATTATGTAATCTTTTTCTTGTGGGTTCCAGTTAATTCCAGTTGCTTCTAAGCAACGTAGCGTGACCATGAGTGACATCTAGTTGTTTCACGGTGCAATCTCATTTGCTCTGGGCAACATCTAGTCAACCCACGACAATATGCGCAAATGATATTTAAGAAAAAGCTCTTAACAAAGAAGCGCAAAATCAGCTTGCTTTTGATCATGAATTATAGTGAATTTATTATGAAATATTCTTTCAATTTTTGTAAATACAAATAGCTTGATTTCTTCAAAAGATATAATAATGTTAACAATAAAATATTTCACATTTTTGAGAAATTTTCAGAGAAGTGAATCTAACTTGAGCCAATGTCTGGATGTCAGGCCTGATTTTTGGTTGTTTTCAAGTGTTCCCCAGTCAAATTTTCAGGGTGTCTGCTTTTTGGGGTATCACTGTAATTCCTTTTGCTGGAGATCATGATTGAGATCATTGGCATAATCTGTTTTGGTTTTGTTTTTCTGGAACAATGAGTGTTCTGAAGTATAAGCCCCCATCCTCCAAGTAAAAACCAAAAATTCCTTCTTCAAAGTTGACCAAGATTAAAATTGCATTGAACTCAAGGGATTGACTCTAGCTAGACTTTAAATTCCTGAGTTTTTTCCATACTGTTGTAGATTTGACTCCCAGACCCAATAATAACTGTACCATATCATCTGAAATTCATGCATTTTTTCCAGAATCTGCCAGCAGTGAATGACAGCAATAATCAGGATCAAGTTTTTCAATCACAGGATTGCACAGAAAATTGAGCAAAGTTTGCATCCCTGGCAGCTGATATTTTTCTTGCACATGGATCTCATCAGGCATTATGTTCCCAAGACCCTTGGTCTCCAACTGATCATAGAACATTCTCCAGCTGGACCAAATGATCACTTTGTCCTTGTACTTGGATAATACTTCCATGCTTTGCTTGATGTAAGCATCCACATTCTTGTTAACATTGGCCAGTTTTCCTGTGGTGGGTTCTGGCAGTATCCAAATAATGGTTCTGATTTTCCAGTAATTGGTGAGCTGGTGAAGCAGTCTGTCAAGTCGCTGCTTTTGTATTTCTAGTCTGTTTGGAACTTGCAAGTGTTTCAAGTCGAAATATCTTTCCTTCATCCTGGAGAATGAATTGGGTGGACGAGCAAACCAGACGGCACCTCCAAACAGTACTGTTTCAGTACCTTGTGGAATCTGCGGACGAAATGACAGCAGTAGTGGAAAAATAGGTATGTTTTTTTTTCTTCCTTCATATTCTGAATTTTGTCTGAAGGGGTTTCTCAAAATTCATGTTTGAGTTCCAAAAAAAATTTCATTCTCTATTCTATTCTCTGTTTTTCCTTTTTTGAATTTTGAATGAGGGGTTTTGAAAAAGTCTTGCTGATCCGAGAACAATTTTGCGGGAAGATTTCTCAAAAAGAGAAACAAATTTATTTTGTGGTATATAAGACAATTTTTCTCAATGAAATTTGCTTACAAAACAGAATCTTTGGATTGCCAATGTAGTCAAGTTTTCTTTCAATGGCCTTCAAGCATAGTGATCAGCAAATACATGTACAGTATTTTTGAATCATGTATGCAATGTATATGCTGCTGTAAAATATTGTTGCAACAAACTCAAATATAGGGACTTCCAAAAAGTTTTGTTTTAAAAAATACAGTACTGTAATTTCTTATGAGATTTTATAAAATTATTGACTGCTGAGAAGATTGTTTCAATCTTCCTTTTGTGACTTTTTTTTAGATGATTTTTCAATTTTGAAAAAACTGATCTTAAAAAAATTTTAAATGTCAATACGAAGCATTTAACCTGACTATAGCAGGTAAACAATACCACTTATTTTTGACTTCTGGTTTTTCTAAGCAATTCCTGCATTTTGAATATTTTGAATGGAAAATTTGAGACTGTGCCTGCCTTCATTGTAGATTTTGTTTCAAGAAAATTACAAAATGATGCTCAAAATAAGTTTGTTGTGCTGGATTTGGAGAGTTTGTTATAACAAGATTTTTATAACATGTGCCCTATACTCCTATAGGATTTCTTCTTTGGGACTTGGAAAAAAATTTGTAATACTAAAAAATTTTGTTTAATGGTATTATTTATTGTGACAAGATTTTACTGCATAGCTGAGAAGTGGAAAAATTTTTAGTAGGTGTGAGTAAAATAAAAGATCCAGAGTTTTCTTGATAATTTGCAAAACAAACCTGAACATATGGATTGAAGTAGGGATTCAGAAGGTAGTGAATGGTTGAGGACAAGGCTTTATTCTCCCAGTGCATAGCCATATTGCTGCCAAAATCCAAACACTTTTCTGCACTGATCAGAGTGAGATTGAAGAATTTTGCCAAAGCTATTGCTTTTGCCCTCACAGTGGAGTCCCCAAAGAAGAAAAATGTGTTGTTGAGTTTCTGTGTTTGTCTTTGCTTCAAACATGATTCTTGGTCCAATATTGGGTATATCTTCAGCTTGCATTGCGACAATTCCCAGCTGAGATTATTGTTGAGGCTGCCATTGCTTTGGAAAACACTCAGACACTTGTCCTGTCCATGGCTTTGATTGCCAATTTGATAATGTTTCCAAGAAGTGTTTGCATACCCCATGATTAGAAAGATGGACATTACACTTGATGGAATCCAAATTTTCTTGAATATGGCTGCCAATTTCTGGCCACCATAATTCAATTTCTCCAACATTTTTCTTATCACTTTCAAATTTGTAAAAGCATAATTAAATCAAATAGCCTGGAAAGGTTCCTTTTTGGTGCACAATTTTCCACTCCCCTGGCTGAAGTGAGGATACATATGCATTCATGATGTGAAGTGTTGTAATTAGGAATTTTTACTGATAAGTTATCTTTATTTTGATAGATAAAAAATAAGTGCATGCATGAATCAGAGCTGTTTATTGAAAACCCGCCCTTATCTCCTGTACATGAACATTTATATGCCATAAAATCACACATGCTGGTGGGAAGCCACCATTTTAGATGGAACCAGAAGTTTTTTTTAATTTAATAATAATATTTGAAATAATCTGTTGAATTCTCTTGAATAGGATATTGGCATTTTATTTGATGTACTGAGACATGGATGAAAAATCTCAAAATGAAGGATAGTTGAAAAATGTCTATATATCTACCAAATTTATTCATATTGTCACACTGACAATTGAAATAAGATGTCAAAATTGAGTGCTAAGCAGATAGTTTGAACCAAGCCCAGTACCTATCTTATTTAATATGCTATGTTTTTACATTATCATAAGGGATGAAGTTGCTTTGTTGAGTATGCCTGTCATTGAAGATTTTGGAATCATGTTCATTTATCTGTGAATTTACAGCATAGAGCTAGAGTTTTTGAACATTAATACTTGGATCAGGACCACAATGTCCTTACCATTACAGCAGTCTTTCTCCTTATGGCAAATTTAATTAGAGGTATGCATGTTTCAAACATTTATGTAATATACAGTATAGCAGGCAAAATGGAGAGAAACCCAAAAATGGATTATACAAGGGCAACAGCATTGTTCTCAACTTTCAAGGTATTCCTAAATGAATATGGTATCAACAAACAATGAAATAAGCCAAAGCAGATGGAATTCATAACTAATTTTCTAAATCTTCCAGAGAATGACAGCAATGATATGCATGGATGTTTTCAATCACAGGGTTGCACAGAAAATTCAACAAAGTTTGCATCCCTGGCAGCTGATATTTTTCTTGCACATGGATCCCATCAGGGATTATGTTCCTAAGACCTTTGGTTGCCAATAAGTGATTGTAGAAAGTTCTCCAACTGGACCAAATGATCACTTTCTCCTGGTACTTGGATAATACTTCCAAGCTTTGTTTGATATAAGCATCCACATGCTTATTTTGCCTGAGAAAATCTCCAGTGATGGGACCTGGCTGTATCCAAATGATGGTTTTGATCTTCCAGAAAGTGGTGAGCTCATGAAGTAGTCTGTCAAGTCTTCCTTTGTGTATTTCTAGTTTCTTGGCAATTGGCAAGTGTTTCAAATCAAAATATCTTTCCTTCATCTTGTCAAATGAGTGATGGGTTGGAAGACGAGCATACCAAGTTGCGCCTCCAAACAGTACAGTGTCAGCACCTTTTGGAATCTGCGAGATCAAAATTGAAAGTTGGCATGTTTGAATAACATGGCATGTAGTTACATGTTATTTTCTCAAATGCTTACTTATTGGCTGTTGCTTGTATTTGAAAATAATCTTATCGCAGAAAAAATAAGTATCAGGTTCTTTCTTCTTTGATTTCATGGGAAGTCTCACATTCTCTGTGAGATTTTCATTGAACAGAAAGCTTTAATTTTGCAAATTTTTGTCTGGAAAATAATTTTCAGGTACAAAATGTTGTTGTTCAATTTTAGCTTGTTTCTTATTGATGTATTAATTATTAAAAATGTTGGAATTTTGTTAAGATGAATTAAGTTGGTATCCAAATATGGGGTACAGACAAATTGAGACAGACAGTTTGAGCATGGACAAATGGAGACAGGAAATTTGAGACAGGGCCAATTCAAGACAGGTACAATTTGAAACAGGAAAATTGAGATGGGAACAAATGGAGACAAAAACAAATTGAGACAAAAACAAATTGAGACAAAATCAAATTGAGACAAAATCAAATTGAGACAAAAACAAATTGAAACAAATTGAGACAAAAACAAATTGAAACAAATTGAGACAAAAACAAATTGAAACAAATTGAGACAAAAACAAATTGAAACAAATTGAGACAAAAACAAATTGAGACAAAAACTTCTTGATGAAGAGATGAATCTGCTTAAATTGGCTTAAACATTAGAGTTTTTCCTTGATGAGGAAAACTCACTTGACATTAATGATTGACCAGAAGGAGAAACACCCTGGTATCATGGACTTTTCACCAAACAGTGAAATTTTTTTTCACACCCTGAACATAAGAGAATAGGGATAAAAACAGTCAAGATATTTTGTTTCAAAATGTAACTATCTCAAAATGTCTAAAATTCTTAAAATGTACAGTATTTGTCTCAATTTTTCCATGTCTCAAACTATCCCTTTCTCCAAAGGTTTCTGCCTCAAATTGTCCTTTTCTCAAATTATCCCTGTCTCCAAAAGTATCTGTCTCAATTTGGCCCTGTCTCAAATTGTCTCTCGATTTGTCCTAGATCCCCAAATATATGATTCATTTAACTCTTAAAATTCAACAGGAAGAACTTCATCCACTATTATAGATATGTCAGTCTCAATTCTTGAAAATCTTGAGATTCCGGAAAGCATTTTTCCAAGACTTCAAAAATGGCTTGAACAACAAACTGTATTTTTGGGAACTTGTTTCATCAGGCTATTCAAATTTCTGAAAACCCTCACAAGAAAAATCAATTTCACTCTAGGTGCAATCAACAAAAGTTGTAAGACCATTTCAAATTCAAACTTCATCTCATTTCCCTTATTTTTCACTAAAAAATCAAATTAATACTACCCCATGTAGCCACTAATGTTTCTGTCATGCAAATTTATTCTTGAATTTCAATGATGTTGGTGCAAATTACAAAATTTCACTTTATAGAACTTATGTTATGATTTTTATTGATCCTGATAAACTTGACCAAGAATATTAAGGTGTTTTTGTGAGGCTTAAAATTGTCTTGAAAATGATCTGTGTACTATTCATGTAGCAATTCCCTTGAGTCCCTTTTTCACAATTGTATTCAGGAATTTCATTCATGTTTTTGTAAATTACAAAACTCTGCCTCAATGTCTTGATACTCATACAGACAGATTTAATTGGTTTTGCTTTGAATGAATGAATGAGCAGAAAACTTTATTTGCCGCTTTTCAGCATTCACAAGGGATAACCAGAACTCCTGCATCCAAACCCCCTCCCCACCCAACCCAACTCCCCCAAATACATTCAATCATTTCCCAGCATGAAACAAAGCACAAACAAATGACAAAAAAAAGAGTTCTGAAAGTGTCTCTTCATATTGAATTTCAGTAATTTTAAATCTTTTGTAAGCTGATGTCTATCTCTTTGAAATGCTGGACATGAGAAGAGAAGGTGCTCTGGTGATGCACAAACTAATGTACTGTATTTATGCTGTAGGAGTTACACCACTTAGAAACCTTTGAGAGTTGGATGAATTTTTTACTAAAGTGCCATGAATTTGTTAAAATAGCTATGGCATCATGTATTAATGGGATGTTAGATGATGCAAACAGTAATGGTTTAGTATGGCCACAAGCAAGAACAGCTAGAAATGTACTTGGGTCTACAACATCACAATTATCATGACAAAATTGAGTGATCAGGATCTTTTCTCTGCCTTTATTGATGTTACCCTTGAGAAACTGGACAAAATCTTCTGCAGATTTTATTGCACTCAATTCTGGGTATTGCTTTAATGGTTTTGCTTTGGTTTTGCTTTAATGCACTTTAATTGAGGGCTTAATTCTTTATATTGATCACAAAGTACTTAAATTGTAACGCTGAATTAACTTTTCATTTTTATATGCAGTAATACAAGCAAAAAAGTTGAAATTGCCTTTTACATGTGAGGAAAAATTCCAAAGTTGTTATAATAATAATTTGCATGCATACCTGAACATATGGATTCAAGAAAGGATTCAGTTGGTACTGAATGCTTGCGGACAAGGTTTTATTTTCCCAGTGCATTGTCATGTTGTTTCCATCATCATCCAGACATTTTTCTGCATTAACCAGGGTCAGGTTGAAGAATTTTGCCAGGGCTACTGCCTTTTGGTTCACAGTGGAGTCGCCAAAAAAGAAAAATTTGTTGCTGAGCTGGTTTTCCTTTCTTTTTTCCAAGCAAGAGTATCTTTCTACATATCTGTTAGGATATGAGAATGCTTTCAGCTCGCATTGGGACGGTTGCCATTCGTCATCTTTGTTGAGGTTGCCAGCATTGCCGTCGAAAACACTCAGACACTTCTCCAATTCACTGCTTTCTTCATGATTTTTCCGAGAAAATTTCACAAATGCCAAAAGGAAAAAGATGGGTATGCTAATCCTTGGATTCAATAGTTTCTTCAATGTTGCTTCCACATGTTCCTGTTTTAGTGCAATCATTTTTGTACATTGATGCAACTTGAACGAAATTTGTTTCAATTTCTTTAAATTGGACAAGGAGAGTTTGTTCTTTGCTACTGTTGAACTCCTCACTAGGATGAGTTCCTTATGCTGTACAATTCCATGATAAGAAACTGCATCATGTGATGAATTATTCCCTTATCAAGAGATGAGTATCAAATGAACTGACTCACCGCTGTGAAGCCAATAACCCCCAGTCTATATACTTGCATGAATATGATGAATCCATGCACAAATGACATTGTCAAATCAATAGCTGAGCAAAGTACAGCATCCTATTGAATATCCTGTACCATATGGTCTTCCAAATACAGTATTGGGGTAATTGATTTTTTCACACATTGTCTGATGATTTTTTTTTCAGATTTTATTCAAAAGTACATGGAGCCAATTCTAGAACATTCATGCTTGATAAGGAAGTGTCATTGTTGATGACATGTCATGGGAATGCCATAAATGATAAGGAATTTCAGGCAGTTTGAGTATTTCAGCTGAATATATGTACTGTATATATGCTCATGCACCTATAAAATGTTCTGAATTTTCATTTTATTTTAGCAGAATTTAAGCTATTTGGGTCCAGGAATTTTTTGGAATGCAGTATAAAACCTTTCAAAATTAATAAACCCTTGGGACCAGGAAAAACCATCAACATTTTGTGCAAATGAAATTTAAATACTGTACCAGTAGCATTGAGGTTATTGGGCAGGGATCTGAAAATTTTTGTTCTGAATAATAAATTACTGTAAGAGATTTGTTGTAATGAGACTCTCCTATAATTCATATGTAAATTCTTTGCACATTTGTTTGGGCATCCAGATTTTTTTGGGGTTCTGATGTTGTTTTCAGATGAAGCTCAAATATGTTCCAATTGGTCCTATTTTGCCAATCATATTTCAAGTTTGTAAGAAGATAAAAAGAAAAGATATCTTTCAAAATGTGTTCACTCTGGATTGTTAAATGGGATTGTTTGAGAACTTCAGTTTATTTGCCAAAAAAAATAAAAGCCATGAATGTGCTGCCCTTTTTACAGTGACTCCTATAAGAAGTATCAAACCAGCTAGTGTACAATAAGACCTATACATTGCACTGTAATAGTTGATTTAGTTGCAGCTGGTTATAAAAATGTCATAGATCAGTATCATTGACTGAAAGCTGGTTCTCCTGTTTTTCAAAAAGGCAATTTTTGAATGAAACACACCTCAGTTTTTTTTTTATTCATGAGGGCAGATGGTATGGAATTGCAGTTCATGATGCTGCATTGGAGGACAAATACCAGTGCTTTCTCTCATTCATTTTGGTATTTTAAAAATTTTAATGATATATTTTATTTGAGAAGTATTTGAAAAGGAGTCCAGCATCAACTTAATTAAGTCAGGCTGCAAATGAAAGTTAGCTAATCAAATGAAATGGAGAAGGAATTAAAAAATTTAAAAAAAGGAAAACATCCCAATTGCTCATTGGGGAGTAACTTATTATGTAAGCACTATTAAAGTATTGAATCATGCAATCAAGTGTAATATCACATTTGTTTTAAACCTTTTTTGAACTCAATTGACCCAATCACATTGACGTTATTTTAAAGAAATATCTTGTTTTTAAGTTTCTGTTGTCACAAAAAGCACATCCCAACTACCTCTCCATATATACTGTACAGTACAGTACAGTACAGTACAGTACAGCATATGCATTTCTTTGTTTGGGAGATACCTCAGATGGCTACAATAATATATACAGTAAATGAATTCCAGACCAGCACGAGGCTTCTTTTATTATTTTGCATCAAGCCATCTTTTCACTTTTCTTTCTCCTTCCTTCTCTGATATTTTTTCCATTGTGAAATGGTGGCTTGCATGTTTTTTTTCCTTCCCATACTATTCTCCCTCAGGCAAAGAGAGTCAACACTCCAAAAACCAAGATAAAATCATTGTGTGGTGGAGGAGAGAGAGATGAGATAAGATCTTTATTGTTATTGAGTGTTCTTGAGACTTTTGGCTGAAAATTTGGCATGCAGAATGGAGTGAGCTATGGCTGAGAGTGCTTTGTGTCAGTTTCCCTCTTCCAGTGCCCAGTTGACAGCATTGGAACAGGGTTTGAGTGTTGATGAATTGACTAGAGATGCTGAAGGTGAGACCAGCATGTAGAAGCTTACTTAGCATGTGTAAACTCAAGTGAATTACTGTAATTTAAAGCCATGTAGAGGAAAATTTTTGTCCCTGGGATATTTGTTGGGTTCTTTCTGCCATTTGCTTCAGATTTGAAACTGTTGCAACCTTAAATGAGCCACAATAACCAAAACAAAACAAAAATACTGAACATCTTGCACTGAGAGAGAAACAGTTAGCTGAATTAGGTGAAATTGATCTGATTTTCAAACATTATTCATTTCTAAATTGTAATCCAATGATCATGGCAAATTTTTCAAAGGTTCCTCCATCAGAATGAAATTCAAGCAGTGATACCCACCCCAACTGTGGAAATTGTTGAATTTTTTTTTGTTGCACAGATTAAAAATGGCATTCCCTTTAAAATCTCTTCCCAATTGCATGTCACTTACTTTTGATCCTGAAAATTTTAGAAGAAAATTTCTGGGCAATATTTGGGAACTTTCTTCACACTGAAAATAAATTAGGTTCAAATTCATAGGGACATTTCTTTAAATTTACATTTTAAAGTTCTAATGAGATGTTTTTTTTTCAAGTGAAGAATACAGTTCTGAATTGCTCGTATAGCTATGGAATGGTGAAGATAAGGAAAGGGTGTTTTTGTGTAAATACAGCACTCCATAACAAACCAATTCTGCTCCACCTTTTTTATCCTCATGATTTAATTGATTAACATTGAGTCAAAACTTCATTGGTGTACAAATATTCAGAAATGTTTAATCTTAACAATTCCCTTGTACATATAAGAAAAAAGAACTGTTGGTTTTGTGGAGTATTTTAGGGACAAGTCATTCACCATTTTATTTTGTTTTGTACTTTGCATCAAGCATTTTTGATAGTCTCCTTCAATGAATGAATGAATGAACAGAAAACTTTATTTGCCGCTTTTCAGCGTTCACAAGGAATAACCAGAACTCCCACATCCAAACCCAAAATCATATAAGGCCAAAAGATTTTCTTGGTCCTTTAAGAGTTCTGAAAGTGTCTCTTCATTGAATTTCAGTAATTTTAAATCTTTTGTAAGCTGATGTCTATATCTTTGAAATGCTGGACATGAGAAGAGAAGGTACTCTGGTGATGCACAAACTAATGTATTTATGCTGCAGGAGTTACACCAATCCTTTAATATGATAGTTTACTTCAATATTGTCCCACAGATTTGACTGAGACAGCAGAAAAGCCACCACCACCAATCAGACAAGACATTGTTGTGCATGATGTTGAGACCTGGTTCAAAATAAGATACCTGGTTGCCACACTATGTTTTTGGTCATTTGTGGTCAACTATGCAATGAGGATCAACATCAACATAGCCATTGTGGAAATGGTCAATCCAATGCAAGCCCCAGATGCTGTGCAAATCAATGTGCCAAGTTTCCATGATGGTGACCTTTTGGATGTGGAATCAGACCAAAGGAACAATAATTCCTTCTCTGGGACCAATTTCACTTTTGTTGAAGCTGATGCTTGTGGAAGGATAATTGAACCTATTGGCAACCTCACTGTCACACATGTGAGTATCCTCTCAAATCTTTGTGAGCTTTATTGAGAGTTCAGACTGTATATACAGTATCATTGTTGTGCCCTAATGCTGTTCTATATAGGATCCAAATAAATTTGACTGGGATGAACAGACCCAAAGTTTGGTCCTGGGCTCTGTTTTCTTTGGATACATCACAACACAGTTCTTGGGTGGCAGAGTTGGAGGTATATTTTCCAAGTGTACATAACATGAACTGCATGCTGCAATAAAAGATACCTCTTGTGCAGAATTAATAGGAGCCAAGAGAGTGCTGGGATACCCATTATTTTGTGCTGCTTTGCTGACCCTGTTGACACCTTTGGCTGCCAAGATGTATGGGTATGGAGCAGTGATTGGTGTGAGGGTGCTGATTGGCATGGCTGAGGTGAAACTTTGTGTTTTACTACATGGTGTCTCAAGTTTTGCTTTAATGAAATTGATAATTGCAGGGAGTGAGTTATCCAGCTGCTCATGCCCTGCTGAGTCATTGGGCTCCTCCTCTGGAAAGAAGCAAAATGTCCTCCATAATTTACACTGGTAACAGAAAAAAAAACTGTATGACTCAGTTGAGTTCAAAAGAGTGTTGTCAGAACAATATCTTTTCAGGGAACTAAAATACTGATTCAAAATTTATCAAAGTTACTGGAATTCTTTTCAGTAATAGATTCATAATTGAAGCCTATTTAGAATACAGTACTTGTCCAATGTCTTATTGCTCCTGCATTTAGCAACCTAACTGAAAATTCCTTCACATTTGGCATCACTGCCACAAAATTTGTAAGCTTACAATTTATTTTTCAATGCAGCATGCTATTTTTAGTTCTTGTATCTTGTTTCAAATTCAGGAAAAGATTATATAAACATTGATGTTTTAATTACAGTTGAATCTTGTTAGGATGAAGCTTTTGGAACTTGTAAAATCCTTTGTTATTATGGTGTTAATGTATGTATAAGGACAGTATTATGCAACTGTGAATGGTTTGAAAAGAAAAATTGAAAAATGTATGTAACCCATTTTCTGTAATACTAAAAGGTGCACAAGTTGGAACTATTGGAACATTAGCCCCAGCAGGGATTCTAATGAGTGCCTGGGGCTGGGAAGCCATGTTTTATTTCTTTGGGTTGATTACCTTCATCTGGTTTGTCTTGTGGATGGTTCTGGTGGATGACACACCTTCTCAGCATTGGCTCATCAGCTCTCAAGAGAAGGAATACATCTTGAATAGTTTGAGCAAGGAGAGAAAGCAAGTGTGTGGATTGTGTAATTGTCCACATGAACATCTTGGATGATTCTTGATTGTTTTTTGGTGCAGGGTAAACAAGATCCATTGCCTTGGAAGAACATTCTGACCTCAGTGCCCTTTTGGGCTCTCTTGGTGGCACACATGGGCAACAACTTTGGCAAATGGGTCATGCTGGCACAGCTGCCAACTTATATGAAAAATATCTTGCATTTTGAGATTCAAGCAGTCAGTATATAACACTCCAACTTCTTCATGCTGCACTTTTTTTTTTNGAACTGCATGCTGCAATAAAAGATACCTCTTGTGCAGAATTAATAGGAGCCAAGAGAGTGCTGGGATACCCACTATTTTGTGCTGCTTTGCTGACCCTGTTGACACCTTTGGCTGCCAAGATGTATGGGTATGGAGCAGTGATTGGTGTGAGGGTGCTGATTGGCATGGCTGAGGTGAAACTTTGTGTTTTACTACATGGTGTCTCAAGTTTTGCTTTAATGAAATTGATAATTGCAGGGAGTGAGTTATCCAGCTGCTCATGCCCTGCTGAGTCATTGGGCTCCTCCTCTGGAAAGAAGCAAAATGTCTTCCATAATTTACACTGGTAACTGAAAAAAAACTGTATGACTCAGTTGAGTTCAAAAGAGTGTTGTCAGAACAATATCTTTTCAGGGAACCAAAATATTGATTCAAAATTTATCAAAGTACTGGAATTCTTTTCAGTAATAGATTCATAATTGAAGCCTTGAGAATACAGTACTTGTCCAATGTCTTATTGCTCCTGCAATTAGCAACCTAACTGAAAATTGCTTCACATTTGGCATCACTGCCAAAAAATTTGTAAACTTACAATTTATTTTTCAATGCAACATGCTATTTTTAGTTCTTGTATCTTGTTTCAAATTTAGGATAAGATTATATAAACATTGATGTTTTAATTACAGTTGAATCTTGTTAGGATGAAGCTTTTGGAACTTGGAAAATATTTTGTTATGGTGTTAATGCATGTATAAGGACAGTATTGTGCAACTGTGAATGGTTTGAAAACAAAATTGAAAAATGTATGTGACCCATTTTCTGTAATACTAAAAGGTGCACAAGTTGGAACTATTGGAACATTAGCCCCAGCAGGGATTCTAATGAGTGCCTGGGGTTGGGAAGCCATGTTTTATTTCTTTGGGTTGATTACCTTCATCTGGTTTGTCTTGTGGATGGTTCTGGTGGATGACACACCTTCTCAGCATTGGCTCATCAGCTCTCAAGAGAAGGAATTCATCTTGAATAGTTTGAGCAAGGAGAGAAAGCAGCACACACCTAACACATTAACAGGTGTACTTGTAGAACCTACTAAGAACTAACAAAAAACCACGTCCCATTTGTTCTAGGTAACGGAACCTTCTTGTAAGACTGGAGTCACGGGAAAACCCGAGAGAAGGTGGCACACATGGGCAACAACTTTGGCAAATGGGTCATGCTGGCACAGCTGCCAACTTATATGAAAAATATCTTGCATTTTGAGATTCAAGCAGTCAGTATATAACACTCCAACTTCTTCATGCTGCACTTTTTTTTTTAATCAGTTTCATTTTGGCTCAACAGAATGGATTCCTTTCAGCCATGCCTTATGTAGCCATGTTTGTATCAGCTCAAGTTTATGGAAGTTATGTGGATTCCCTGAGGACCAGAGGCATTGTATCCACAACCATGGTCAGGAAAGTTTCCAATTTTATAGGTATGTTTCTTTCAGCCTCTGGCTATCTTTTCTAGACATTAAAATAACATACTACTGTACTGTAGTGAGTGAAATATTGTTAAAACAAGCTTCAATAGAGAAAAATTTACTTCCTGTACAGTGCATTACTGCAGCATCAAATGCCACTGCATGGTGCCTGGATAATCCATGTTTTATATTGAGGCTATACCTTTTTTTTTTTTGCTTCCTTGCCAGGAACTTACACATGAATATTTCATCTTATTAGCAATATTTTTGGCAATAAAAAGATTCCATTTAGGATTACATTGAAAACCTGTGACAGGTTTTTAATATACAGTAATTTGTTTGTGTTTATTCCTTCAAACCTCTAAGTTCTTATTCACCTATCACTAAAATTTCAAACAAGATGAGGTTTCCAAACAGTATATACTGAACTATCTCAGCAGAAGTAAGAGAGTTTTGCCTGAAGAAAAATTTTAAAATCAAGTAAAAGTGCTGTTTATCATTCATTGAATTATTGGTCCAATGTTTTCTTAATGATATTTTCCTTAGATACTGTATTTGAATTTTTCTTGTTTGCTGAAACTGTGAAGGGAAATACACAGAAACTTGAACATTTTTGAGAAAAAGCTTGAAAAAATGATTGAAAATCAATTATTTACACTGAATCTGAAATATTTTCAATACAATAGTTTTAAAATGAGTTGATATTAGTACATGTGGCAAATCATGTTATAATGAAATTTCACCTATATATTGTATTTTTCTCTTTTTCAGCACAAGCTGGTTCAGGATTGTGCTTTGTTGCTGTGGCTTACACAGGATGTGACAGCTTGCTGAGTGTGGCCTTTTTCTGCCTTGGGGAATTTTTCCAAGGAGCTGTTTACTCAGGATACATGGCAAATCACTTGGACTTGGCTCCTAACTTTGCAGGTTAGTTCTATTCATGCACCTGCTTTTTGGTTAGAGTTTGAATCAGAGGATTGATTCCAGGAAGTCTGATGGGACTGACAAACACAGCAGCAACTGTGACATCATGGATGGCTCCAATAATGACTGGGGCCATTATAAATCATAATGTAAGAACTTAAAACTGCTCCAGGAGGTGGGGAGAATCAGGGATATTATTTTTTACATGTGTTCACATTACAGCAAACAATTGGAGCATGGAGGAAAGTTTTCTGGATGGCTGCTGGAATCATGATTTTTGATGCCCTGGAGTTCCTGATCTTTGCCAGGGGTGAAGAACAGTCTTGGAATTCAAACCCTTCTCCTCCAACTTTAGATAAGTGTGTTTCAAAGACAGAGATTTCTACAACTGAAGCCAATGAGGAAGTTTTGCAGCTGGAAAATGTCAAGTCAAAGTGCACTTGAATACATTTCCAGTTCTTTGAAAAAGAGAGCAACTTTGTGTAATGCATTTCAAATGATCAAGCCCTTGAGAGTTACAGTAGATGCAGAAATTTGTGTTGTATAACTGATGAATGCAAACACATTTGCTGGGTTTTCATTTGGCAATTCAGAAGTGCAATTTTACACATGCTTGTGTTGAAATCCTGGTGCTGTATATATACTTGCCAGACACAGAGCTTATCTAAAGTACAGTATTCAAGACAATTTTTATATGATTCCTGATTTTTCCTATAAGCTAATTTGAGATTCTCACAAAATTAGTTGATTTTACAAATCCAACTTTCCCATTATTGGAAAAATGCCATTTTTTGCAAATTTTCTGCACAATTTTTTATAATTCCTGATGCAAGCCCTTAATTTTACAGTTTTAAGTTGTGTATGTTGTTGTTTTCAGAGGAGGGTTTTGCTGGATTTAAATATTTCCTTTGTTGAGTGACAAAAAAAAAGAAACTTGTCAGCTGCTGGTCATATCCATGTGTCAGGGTGCTTCAAAATATTCTAGATCATTGCTGATCACTGTGTAGGAATCAATAATTCAAGAGAAGCAAAATTCAAAACATCCTGTTTTGAGTCACACTCATTCTTGTGATCTCACTTCTTTATCAAAGCTGAAGTCATTGGTAGAAAATGAACACTGAAAAGAACTTTTCAAGGTGGATAAGTTTACTTGTGTCATCAATAATTCTTGTTTGGGTGCTGGGCTCCAAATGGATTTTTTCTACACCTAATTTGCGCGTGTCTGTGATAATTTTCATCCAGCCATGGTGTGAATATCTGCCACTGTTCTTGACATACTTTTCGACAATCAATTACCCAAAGCATCTCATGTCAATCAATTTTGTGACATTCCACAACACTTGTTCAACATCTGAGGATATTTTGAAGGTGAGACTTGAAATTTATTTGCATATTTTACACTACACTCAGCATATGCAATCCTCACTTAAGTTGAACTGAGAGAAACCCACACAGTTTTTCAGTTTGGGAAATCAGCAATTTTGCTGGGAAAGGAATGAATAATAACATCAGGGTGAAATTGGTGATTTTTCTTAACTTTAACATTATATATCTGCCTCTGGATAGATGAGTTAACAGGATGCTGGACTTGGAAGCTAGACTAAATTTGCCCAATTATAAAATCAATCATTTCTTCTTGAAATGCATTATTTCATTTTTATTGGTTTTCTCTTTTCTGGTGGGTCCTAAGAATAATGCATAAAGTGACTCTGAAGAACTTTGAGCTATAGTTAACATTTCACAGGAAAACAGTAATAAGATTCAACTGCTGTGTGTATATATACAGTAAAATCTTGTTACAACAAAATTTTTTGAGGAATGTATGATTTTTAAAGAAAAATATTCCCAATGATGGCAGGCACAGCAGTCACAAATTTCCCATTCATAATGTGACTGCTGTTGGCTGGTTTTTTGGGACATAAATGGAAGGTGCTGGAATCAAGGGGAAATTCTTCAAAATCCATCTGAACATCCTCTAATAAAATTGTAATGTACAAATAAATGAAAATGTTTTGTCATTGGCAATTTTCTGTAGATTTAGTTTTAAACTATCTTCAAAGTCAATGATCTTAAAAATCTTCTTATAACAAATTATTTGTATTTGTATTGTGAAAACTTCTCTGAAGTCCCCACAAGTTATTTCCCATGACAAGATTTTACTTTACTAATGAAATCTCAATGGGGATTTTTTGGTACTTTCCTGTTATCTCAGTACCTCATTCCTAGGCTGCACTACCATCCAGACAAATCTTTAGGACAAGTTCATAATCACAACAACCTACCAGAAACTATGAATTTTATTTTTTTTGCATTCTGCTGAAACTGATTTTGAGAGGCAGTTAGGTAAAGTTAGGAGGTTAGGTGAAGTTAGGTTAGGTCAGGTTAAATTGGTCAGAGGGAGTGTACAGAGATAACAGGAAAATAGGTACTAAGATAACAGGAAAATAGGTACTGAGATAACAGGAAAATAGGTACTGAGATAACAGGAAAGTACCAATTTTTCTTGGCTGTTCCAGAAATGGCACCATCATGCAGGAAAAGATTACCAGTCCATAGAGCACATTTCATTTGCTGGATATATCATATGGGATGAGGATGACTTGGCACGCTTTGACCTCCTTGGTCAAGTTTCCATACATGACTATGTTTGGTTCATCACATCAGATGCCCTGTTTGGAGAGCCTCAGATTCTCCACAGACTCATAGCTTATAGAAATGTCTCCATTGTTGCCCCATTGCTACATAGTGTTGATGACTATGTGAACTTTGAGCCCAAGGGGGACCCAAAGGTTATACCAAAGATGCTTTCTGGAGAGGTCACAGGGATTTGGGATGTGGCTGAAGCATCTTCCTGCTTCTTGTTTGACAGTTCTGTTGAAACTTTGGAAGCCATGGAGCACATGTTGTATGTAACAAGGTCTAAGAATCACTTTGGATATAAGATTGGTGTGAGAGACAAGGAGGAGTCCAGCTTGGATGTGTATGTAGTTAATGAGGTACCTTTTGGGGTGATTCCAAGTGTCAGTGTTGGTTTCAAAGGAAGGCATAGAGAAAGCAACTTTTTGTACAGTAAGTTACTCTTGTCTGAGATTTTGGATGGAGCAGTTGAAGCAGCACCTTACTTGGTTGTCAGAGATACACATGAGGTGAGATTTGCATTTCTTACACTGAATAAGTGACTGAGTCATTAAAATTTGAATTTTCTTCCATCAATTTTAGTAATTTTTGAAATCAATACTCATGCAAATTTAAAGCATATCTTTGCTCTGCAGCATACTCATTTCTATAAGCTTCCATCATTCCAAAAAAATGACATTGAATGTAGAAAGTAGTAAATGTATATGTTGTTTAACTGTCATCCTGAACAAGATTAATGGTTCTCATTCAATTTGCATCACCTTTTCTGCAATCAGGCCAGGATATACTCCGTATACCCTTAAAACTTTGGATTTTATAGTTGGTATCATACTAATAAAAAATAGATTACTGATACAATAGCATTATTGTTACAAGGAATCTCATTGCTTACCATGAATTTATTTTTGCTCGTGTTCCTGTCCAAAATACAGCTTCTAAGTTATTTTAGTTTTGTTTCACCGTTTTTTTTCCATCGCAAAGCTTTCATTTGAAGGTCTCATCAATGCTTTGTTGTACAGAGATTTTACTGTATTGTGAATTTCTTGAGCGTACTCATGACCAAATGAAACATTCTTGATCACCATAAGCACAGAATGTTTGAAAACGAACAGCACCACACAGTATATATATTCAATCCAATTCAAGAGAAATCAATGAGCACTTTTTAAACATAGAAAACTTTACTTTGACAAATCTCGGTCAATATATAAATTCTCGAATCATCTATCCTATGGTTCAACCGGAAAAAAATCCACGTTACATCACAATGAAGGCCACAGCACCGAAAAAGAAATTGCCGGGAACAGACGCGACTTTCGTCATAAACATGGCTGGAAGACGAAAACGGAAGAGGCGTATGGAGTTCTGCTTCACGTCGTTGAAGATCGACGTCACCTTTGTTCCTGCATGTTCCCTGGAAAACGGATGGGGGAAATTCAGGAATAATTTCACCATTCTGCAGTCCTACCGGAATTTAGAAGCAAGACGACGCATTTCTACGGGAGAAATCGGAAATTTGCTTAGTCACTACAGCGTATGGGAAAGGATTGTCGAGGATCGGTAAGCGCTTGAAAATAAGCAAGATCGTGATGTATTTTATTACCACGTTTTTATGAACTCACTTTTCTTGTCTGTCTGTCTGTCTGTTTGTCCGGATCAAATTTTGAAACTCAAATTTCACTCACTTCCAGACTAGCTAGCAAGCTGAAACTTTCAGGATAGCTTAGAAANTTTCTTATGGGAGATAAACTGTTCGATTGTTTAGAGGAGGTTGTTATACCTTTATCATTAGGGAGTTCTACAATGGTTAACATTTGGCATATATAGCTAAAAAGGATTATGCTCGATATGTATTTTAAGAATATTTTTTAAAAAGAATAAACACATACACATACTCCAATATACACATAACAAAATGTGAATGACATGCACCGAGAAAAATAAAGAACAATTATTAATTTAAAGTACTGTATACAGATCCATATCTATGCAGAGCACTCGAAGGAACACCGATCGATGGACATCCATTGTTGAAAATCACCGGGTTTTCCGGCGGCTTGATTCTTCTAATTCATAAAATATTGAAAGTCATATGATCTAGATTTCTAGAATATATTAGGCTACACTTCTCATATTCACGATGAGAGCTATATATTGTACACGAAAAAGCATTCATAAGCTTGCCCGTAGCAACACGCGGTAGAAATCGTTCCGTAATTACAATAATCATATACTGCACAGCTGTACTGCTAGACAACTTCGTATTTTCGAAAATCCCGTGGTTCTTCACATAATTTAAATAGAAAAGCAATCACACGAATACAATAAACTCACTGCGCATCTTGTTTCCGATTAGGATATTTTCCGCAGCCGTATTCGAGGATGACATTCACTTCGAGTACAACTTCTTGGAATATTTGCGGAACATCCTCGATGACGCATCGCAGAGGAACATATCGTGGGACTTACTTTACATGGGCTACGAGGCGGTGTTGCCGATGAATCACTCCAAGCTGAACGGGTCAATTCACTTCGCACGTCCCGATTACACATACGGCTCTTATGCTTACATCATTACCCTGGAAGGAGCACGAAAACTGGTCAATTCTCCGATATTGAGAAAAGTTATTCCGACGGACGAATTTTTGCCTGTTATGTACAACTCTCATCCCATCGAGGCACTGGCTTCGAAATTTCCGCAGCGAGATTTGAAGGCTTTAGTGATATGGCCGAGTTTGATCTGGGAGAAGTGGTTGCATCGGGGAGGACGCAAATTGGGGAGAACGTCTGACACTGGCGTACAAGCGACATCTAGTTCTCAAATCTATTCACCGACACCACAATGATGCGTCAGCAAACATTATATAAAAGAATAGAGAGCCTATACCGAAATACAATATGTTGCACACTGTACATGCAGGCCTTCAGTTTAGTTCTGTGCGTTGTTTATCGTTTCCGAAATTCTGATCAATACGTTTTACTAATGGTATTAAATGCGCCCACTTTGTCCGCAGGAGAGGAGATTTTTTCAAGATGGGTAGATGTCACTTTCATGGCAGCCAGCACCAGGGAATTGATAACCAATTTCAAAATTCGATTCATCAGTATGTGGGGACAAATGCTCAGCATTTCGCAAGGACAGGATACGATCTTTTCCTTACTTATGAGCACTACGTGAAGAAATCGACTTCGAGCACGAAGAATTTGTACCCAGCCACCCGGCTTGTTAACGATGAGTGACACCTAACTCATTTCCAGCGGCATCTAGTGATCGATTGCTTCTCCCATGCGATGCATTGAAAACGATTGTTGCTCGTCCCTTGCAAATATCCCGTGATGGTCCGTAATTGTCACGTAAGAAGAGGAATGACTGTGGCCTCGGTTGAAGTCAACTTTCGACGTTGCAAGTCGGTTACCTTCGTGTCCGCGTGAAATTGAGTGCATGCCTCGTTCGCAGGAATCCTGATCGTGAATTATCTGTACTGTACCAAATTGATGGTGCTTCGTTTCATTAATTTTCAGCGAATAAAAAGAAAAAGTGCAGTGTGCGCCTCAGGTGATTTTTCGAATGACTACATTAGGTCTCGTTGCTAAACAGTGTCGAAGGTTTAGCTTTCTTTGACGCGTCTTGTGTTCTTCGATGCAGATGTCAGATACTGATCGGTTGATTCAAAACACGTCAAAGCACACCGAAAACGGAATTCGCGAAGCAGAAACCAAGCGGAAATTCGACGGTAATAATCTTCAACTTCGTCTCAAAATCGCCCGTGTCGACCCCGCGTTAGAACGGATCACGCAACCAGAAATACGTCTTGTTTGCGATCGTATCGACGTTGCAGAATTGAGTGCAGATAACCTAGAAGATCTCGAAAAAGCGTCGTCCGTAAATAGTGGTGCGCTTCCTGAAACGAGGCCTTGTTCAGTAGATCTATCGGATTTATCTCAACCAATTTACGATCTGATGGATCGTCGCCGTCAAGCACCGGAATCAGCCGAAGTGCCCAAACTCAAATCTCGCGAAGGAGTACCTCTTCGCGAGAAAATAGTGCCTTTGCGAAACGACTGTATCCTGAATGAAAAGAACAATGCGTTTGCGCCAAAGGTCTCCTTACCGTACGACGATCACACTTATTCGTTTCAGCCAGATTTCAAGCCTAAGCCGAAGACCAAAACCCGAACTGTCGCTGTGGACATTCACGATCATTCTGTTTCTTCAGACGAAACCCCTGTAGTTCTTGACCCAGAAGTGGCGTTCGAAGTTACGATTGAAACCCAAGGCGAAGATTTCCTTCCACGGAATCCTCTGTCCAATCCGGTTCCCGCTCCTCGAGGCATTTTATCGAACAGTGCAAAATTCAGGAAAATTGGCTTACACTCCGTGTCTTTTGAAGAAGTTAGCGTGTTTTATTTCAATCGATCACAAGGTTACGATGTGATCCCGAGCACCGGAGATGGATGCACCTTGGCTCTTGACCGATTCCATTCGGATTTTCAGCGCATTCCCTTCTCCGAGTATCTTGTGCAAAGTGCCAAAGAACGGCAAGAAGCTTTTCTGCTGGCTAAATCAACGGTTCCTGCGGAATGTTCTGAAATTGCCAGCGCTTTTCTCAAGAGCAGCACAGAAGTCAAGCAAAATATCGAAGTTGTCGACGAAGATTCCGCGATAGAATTCGTGAATAGGACTCCTAGTCAGAAATCCATCATGGTAAATATTACGTGTTCTTCCATGCAAATGTTATCCCCGTTTTTGCTTTTGATTCTTTCGAAATCTTCAAATCCGATAGCAAATATGATTGGGAGACTAAAGATAACTTTTGAATGACCTTCCAAGAATGCATTGGAACCGAAAGCACCCAGTGACCGGTTTTTTTCTTCGGATCGCGAAAACATGTTTACACAACAGCTTCACCAGATTATTCTAGATACACTGAGTAAGATTGGAGTGTTTCTGTTTTGTCTGTCATTCTAAGCATGATTCCTTATCATATTTTGTCGCCATGTTTCAGCCAATGACGAAAGGCCGAAGAAGAGCTTTGCTTCGGAAAGCTGGAGTGAAATTCGATCACTTCCTTGACTTGGAAAATACACGAATCGCTGAAAGCCGCAAGCAATGCGGTTGTGACTGTAAGGGCGGTTGCAAGCCGGACAAGTGCCTATGTTCTATGTTGGAAGTCTGTTGCTTGGTGAGTAATGATGACCAGAACCATGAATATTTTTAGTACTGTGCAGTGCTCCTAGTGAATTGCAGTTGAGCCTCGATAACTTGAACCTCTCTTGGTCGAGGACCGTGCATCCTTATGTTGAATTTTTCGAGTGCCTGTAGGAATTCGAATTGGTTTTTTTCTCCCTTGAAGTTGAAGATGCTCAACTTTACTTGCTCGAGTTCTTCTGTGCGAAGTGAGTGGCGTGGTTTTAATTGCGATGATTTTCGTGTTCTCCGTGGAGGTGATGCGTGAATTTCTAGTTCGGCGGAGGAAATATTTCTTGTTACAGTATATTCTTCATTTTATTCGACATTTTCCGGCTCATTCTGGAGTGTTATTGCTGAAGTTCTGTGATTATAGAATTTTTGACGGAAATTTGCTGAGGATTTGGAATGAAATAGCCGTTCCATTCTTCCCTTCATCAGTTAGCGCAAATGCGTCAGGGGAGGATTTCGAGATATATTTTTTGTGAATATTTTTAACAAATTGGTACAGTACTGTATTAGACGTCGTGGTACTTTGCATAGGAATGGTCCATTGACCGAGACACTACAGTACCGGATTGTTTCTCTGAAGAACGTGCTTCTCTTGTGTTTTGCTTATATTTAGGTGGATAGTGAGGGTTACCCGTGCAGTTGCTCTCCGAGCTTGTGCCAGAACCCGTGGGGATGCGAGCGGTTCGAGCCAGTGAAATTCGTCGTCAGTCCATTGAAGGACGACGTTTCGGATCCCAGATTTCATCGTGACCCCGAAGGAATTTGCCTGCGGATCTCGAACTCTTGCATCGAGTGTGAATGGTGAATAATTTAGAAGTTTTCATTTGGAGAAGCGGTGTGATGCGTACGCGTGCCAAAGCGCGAGCGGAAAAGGAGAACAAGAGGATGTCTTTCCGGTGAGTACAATTATTCATTCGGAAGTGATTCACGTTCAGAGTGCCCGAAATGTGTACAAATTGATCGAAAAAAAAATCATTTTAAAACGTCATATCCACGAAAATGGCGACCTTTAAACCGGGAAATATAGGAGGTGTACGGAAATCCAAGCCGCGATGACCAAAAGAGCGAGTGATAATCGTACCGAAGCTCACCGTGATTTATTCGATTATATCGGATATGTGAACACCAAATGCTTCATACAGTATTATGTATAATACCAAGTACAGTATGATTACAAATGCTGTATTGTGCTCTTAAGTTCAGGAAAACAAAATTTTCCCCGAGTGACATTCGAACAGTGCATTTGGGCCTGAAATTATCTCTTGTGGCTTTCTCTCTTGTGAAACGGTCTCAGTGGCTCAGCAATTCTGCAAATGAGTTTATTTTGCCTGCAGTAGAAGTCCTCATCTGAACCAGTGTCTCATACCATAACCCCGATTCAATTTTTAGGCCAGGAAGCATAATTGCACTAAATTATCCACACTGACACACATTTTGCAAAAACAAGCATAAAGGAAATAAGGTCCCGAGCTCGTCACGGGTTTCCACACTCTTTTAAGTTCGGGAGAGCCTTCTGGTTGCCAAAGTGCGGCTGCTCTGGAGCAAGACTAGAATTAGAGACGGAGAAACGGGCCCATGTGACTGGTTGCGTGAAGAAGGCCACGCGAGAAAAGTTGCGCATGATGGGCGAAGCCCTGACGAACCAGTTGCGGGAACAGGCAGCTGCAGAAATCGCTGTGATCCGGGCCCGGGCCACGTTCAAGGCCCCCGGGATCCCTCCTTATTTGAAGAGAGTGCTTCGAGAACGCAAGGCCCTTCAACCGTGCAACAAACAGTGACCTTTTACTTGACCTTGCGAAAAGAAGAAGGAAAAAAAACGAGCAAAATTGTATAATTTTTCCGTGTGATCCCCATTCCGTCTGGCTTGTCTGTCGGATCGATCTTGTATTCCTCGCTTGGTTATTTTTGTAGCGACTTTTTTTTTTGGATGTTTCTCGAAAGTGTTAACACGAGTGAAGATGTTCTGCTTTTTTTGAAGCTTTTCGTTTGCATTGTGGTTTCCCAATCACACTCGAAACTTGTCACCACGGGGCCAATTACCTGAGCTACGCAACGTCACAAAGCAAGTCATATAGGGCTTTCAGACAACTGGCTCAAGTCTTAGGAGGACTCATTATATCTTAGTAAGGGAATTCCTACTCCGTTTCAGATCCCTTGGAAGTTTCCGTTGTAGAATCTTGCAGAAACGACTGTTCACCGTAAAATATCTTCCAATATGATGAAAAAACGAGAGAAAAATTTTACACAGTATTTTGAACGCAAATGAGATTATTATAATTTCAAAAAGCTCTCATTCATTTCGAAAACGATTGCTTGCAAAAGAAATTCTCGCGAATGAGAAATTAAATTGAAGACAATGACTGAAAATTATGTCAATTATCCTCTTTTTTTTTTATTTAGAATTGGTGGCAGCCGAAGTCCAGTGTGTGGAGCATACATTATGCGAGGTGTCCATTATCCGAGGTCCCATTGTACGCGCGTTATGAGAGGGAACCCAGGGGAATTTGCCGTAGAGAAATCTACAAAATGCCAATTTTTTTTTTACAAGTCTTGTAAAACGATATAATTTGAGTCCCACGCATCGGTGATGAACATTCCTTCATGTTTTTGTGTCAACGAAAAATTTCGTGTGGACCACGAGGTTAAGCTTTGCTGCCAATTTTAGGCTTGATTTCGAATTTTTCTGCATAAAAAGGTAATTTGAAATGTGTGCATTTGGATGTGTTGCCATTGACCAGAAAATGACCATGAAAGCCAGGAAAAATAACTGGCGCGTAATTTTTAGTAAAATATTTTGATGTTGAACGAATGTTCACGTCTTGAAAGGATTTACATAAAAACAACAAAAAAATGTTTTCAATGCTGGCGCATTTACAGCGTCTGGAAGTCCAGGGATTTTTTCTTCTCAAATTTTTGAGCTGGGAATTTCTCGATAAGAATCAAGCAAATTAAAATGGAATTTTTCTGAAGACACGCCCACAATTTCTGCAAGGATTTCTAACAATTTTTTCAACAGCCATCACATTTGTAGTCATCGCCGATTTTGGAAGTCCCTGCTCCAATAATAATTACCTAAAATTTTGAAGGACCACCTGATAACATTGAAAATATGTGTACCTTCACTTATGTGCAAATTTTTCAATTTTTCAAGTGTCCACACAACTGTCAAAAGGATGTTTTGGTTGATGAACGAAGTTGCTGGTGGTCATTTAACAGTCCTTGCTTAAATTTTCAGTGCATATTGATGAAGAAATCCAGATTCGACTTGCTGAATTTGTAGAAAATTCGTTTCTGTTTTTTGTTTTGTTTCAAAAGCTGAGATTCCGTGGTGTTACAGCACAAAACGTGATGAAAAATTAGTTCGGTTCCGTTCCCTTCTTGTAGATGTCGCTGGTGTATGAAACTCCCTTGGGTCCCCAAGAAGTAGGCTATAGGTACCGTGCTCCGTTTTCTTTTCTCGCAGGACCAAAAAAAATGTCGGCTATGGAAAGTGTTGAAGTGAATGATGTGTCTCATGTGGACGGGATCAAGTCTCGTAAAGCTGTCAAGAAGTTTTCCGATGCCTTGCTGGTGAGTGAGAATCAAGTTCCGCTTTTCTGAGGATCTCATCTCCGACATTTTGTCAAATCCGCATCGTTCTTCCAAGATACATAATTCATTACCACAGCGATTTAACGCATATTTTATGCGTGAATCTTTCGTCGTGGTTCTGAGTACACTAATTTCAACCTCTTATTTCTTGCACAATCTAATGACTGAGTTCAAGTTGAGTTACTATAACGTCAACTTCCTAATCTGAGGTTTTTCAAGTGCTTCCTCGCAGGACAAATATTTTTGTCTTCAGTACGTTTTATTATGCGAAATAGACGTGATGCAAAACGAAATTTTCCCGGAGACTAGATTGAAAGTCAAATAATTTTTTCGAAACACTCACCGGAAGACTATAAGAAACGTGAGGATAACATTTATTTTACCTAGTTTTTTATTTCTCAATTGTGAATTGAAAATTTATTTGTCTGGAATCGAAGTAATCCTGGGGACTTCTTGTCACAAATGTTCTAAATTTTGCTAATTTTAAAATCAAGAAGATGCGAAACTTACCGTTTTTTTTTCTCAATTTCGGAAAAATTCGAAATTACATATATCAAAGGATTTCTCTTCATTTCATCAGAAGTACATACATTATTTGTTTTAGAAGCATTTTAAGTACAGTATGTATTCCCCATTTCTGATAAAATCCCAGTCTGAAATGTGCTAAAAATCATTAATATAACGAATTTTTCGTTATAACGAATTTTTTCTTGGGTCCCTGGGAGTTCGTTGTAACGAGATTATACTGTATTTAGTTTGAGATTTGGCGTAACAATTAATTTCGTTATGTGAGTCACTTTCGTTGTATGGGTCTTTCGTGAAGCAGGGACCCAGTGAAACAAGGAGTCGTGCCTCGGTTAGCTTTAAAAGAATGATTTGTTTGACATGGTTAGGTTTAGTTCGTTCCGGAAATGAACATATATCTTCTTTTTTTATCTTTGTTCGATGCAGGAATTGATTCCCGCTGCCATGAAAACCGGGGATTTCTCCCACATCAAACGCCTGGTCAAGTCCAGCAGAACCCCGGACCCGTCTGACAAGACTTCCTGGGACCGGATCCACGAGGACGTGGAAATGCACTTGCGGAAGTGCGTGGTTGTGGACGGGCAAACGAGTCCCGAGTTTTGCCGGAACGTGGTTCGGTTGGCCGTGTTGAGTAGCGACGAGACGGCGCCGCTGGTGGCGCCCATGTTGCCGGGCGCCGTTTTCCTCGACGTTTTCGACATCGTCACGATCCAGGCTGCCGAGCGATTGTTTGAAGTTGTTGAAGAATTCCGGAGCGTGTGGAAATCTCCGCAGTTTGGGGAGAACAATAAGAACACTTTGCTGCGGCTCGGGAACAGTACGTCATTTTTTTTTGTTTATCTACAAGTCTTGTGAAACGGGTTATTTTGAGTCTCACAAATCGGTGAAATCCAAGTCCTTCGTTTTTACGACTACGAATTATTGTTTTAAACTGGTTTTGGGAACAGGACGTAACTTTGAAAAGACGAACTCACTTTCGAGGTTGTGATCCTTGTCTACACAGTGAGGCTTATCCTAAACGAAAGACTGGTGTGACGAAAAATTGACATGGCGAAAAGTTTCTCAATTAGCGAAAGTTCTTCATGTAGCAAAATTTGGTGGTCCAAACAAAAAAAAAGAACTTTGAACCAGTTTTCACCTAAAACTTCGGAATTTTGTCGAAAATTGAGGAATGTAAGAAAACAAGGTTCTATACTTGCCTCTTCTTCCGTGTACAATTTTTGAAATTCATTGAAGTCAGATGAAGCACAAATCCATACTTGAATTTCATTAAATTCACGAAAATGAGAAAAGCTATAAAGAAAATAATCAGTTTTAATGATATATTGGGGCATTTTTATGAATGTCTGGAATAAATTGAATAATTTACGATGAAGCCGTGAGGGAAAATTGTTCGATTGATAAATTTTTTTTTTTAATGAGAACAGTTTATAAAATTTAATCTTGGGAAAAGATGTGCAAAGTGAAGTGAGTTGATGAAGCTATGTTGATAAAATTATTATTTTTAACAGCACTACAAACCAATCATGTTGCGAAACAGACGTTTCACCGTTGGAAAATTGAGAAAAATGAGTTTTACGGCAGAGGAAAAACACAAATCCCAGAGAAACAAAATTTGAGAAACGAAACTTTTCTTTTACAGACTTGCTCAAGCGGTTGTCAAAGTCTCAGAACACGACGTTTTGCAGCCGGATTTTACAGTTTCTCGCGTCAGTGTTGCCGCCGAGTGAGAGATCAGGTGAGAAAATTCATTCTCGAACTGTCTTCCATTCAAAATTTGAATTTGCGTTTTTTTTCATGATTTCAGGTCTGAACATTGTCGGTGAATTCAATCTGGAAAATGTCACTCACTTCTCAACTCAGGCTGGTGGAAAAACGGGGGATGCGAAAGCGTGAGTGTATTTATTTTTCGAAAGCCAAATTATGTATTATGGGTCATCAGTTTGAAAAGTCCCGAATAAATAAGTCCCGAGTTACGTGACATTTGAAGATTTCTCCGTTTTTCTTCCGAAGGTTGGAGGGACAAATTTACGAGATATTCTGGGGTTTGCAAGATTTCTTCCGAAATCCGAATCAAATGTATAATGGGACGTCGTTCAGAAAGTTCAAGGACGTGAGTATTTTTTTCTTCCTGCCTGAAAAATATTTGCGATTGCTGTGAGCTGAAGGAAAACAATTCTTTTCTTCGAATTTATTTTTGTAGAGTTGTGAAGAAGTGTTCAAGTTGTTCAGAGCGAACAAGATTGAGCTCGTTCCGGGAGTTGAGATCAATTTGAGGAATCTCACGGCTACCGAAGGAGGCAGACAAAGAGCCCAGTTTTTCGGAAAATACCTGACGAACGCGAAACTGATGGATTTGGAAATGAGGGATCCAATGTTCAGACGATCGTTTCTACTCCAGTTTCTCGTCATCGCACAATTCCACCTGTTGCCCTTCAAATTCCGACAGTGAGTTTTCACCAGTTCTGTAATCATAGCGAGTTGTGTGCCTTGATCTCAAGGTGATGTAAGACAGATGTCGCCTGAGTGACGAGCACGACTACATACAAGCAGTCCGCGACGACGCGATTCAGGCGACACCTTTTTAATTAGCGTAAAAGCAATCACGTGGCTACTCAAATTTTGCTTTTAATTAAGTTAGGTAGGTGTCGCCCTAATCATGAACTCTAATGCACTCCACCTGCAGAAATTGAAACGAACACGATTCTGGCGACATCTTTGACTTTCTGCATTTGTAATAATTTGTAGGGTGGGATGTGGTAAGAAGGAAATAGCTCCTGGTGTGAAATACCTTGGAATTGTTAGGATGTTTTTTTTTTCTTCTTATTTTATTAATCGTTGGCATTCTTTTTCCGAACAGTGAAAAGAATCAGTTTTCCACGGCTCAACGCCAGTGGCTTCAAAAGGCGTCTCGCCAGGCGTTGTCTTTAATTCGTGAAACCCCTCCGGATGGTGTGAAAGCTGCCGCCCTGATTCGCAAATTGCTGAGCGAGGAGAGAACTTGGATTGCGTGGAAAAACGGGGGCTGTCAGCCAGTCACCCCCGTAGACTCCCAGAAAGACCCCGTTTGCTCCACTGCAAATTTGAGGAAGTTTGGATTTGCCGAATCCAAGTTCCGCTTGAGGTGAGATGAAATGGAAATTGTCACCATTTTTTGAGGTTAAATTAGAAGACTTAATTTTTTTCATCTTGCGTGTGCAGCCAAATTTTTTTCAACGTGGTTTTTATTTACGCGCGAAATCATTCAGGATTTCAAGCTGAAGTCATTTTATTTCTCCGTTAGATTAAAAAAAAAAAAATCTGCGAATGTGCCACAAAAAGTAATGCGTACTGAACACTTTATTTGCGTGCTCTGATTTAATCGATTGAGCTTTTTCCATATCTTCAATATGGCTTCACGTGAAATCGTAAGAAATCAGAAAAAGTAGCGAATAAAACTAGAGTAATTGGAAGTCAGCGAATAAACTGAATCAACTAAGTTTGTAACTGAGGTTCGAAAAATTGTTTTATTATATTTTCATGTTCCTCGCGTGTTCATTTATTTTTTTTTTTCTTCCTAGATTGGTGGACAAAACTCCTGGTTTACCAGCGAAACAGAAGCTTTTCGCATTGCCGTCTCGGGATCAATACGCCCTGCACAAATTCGGAATGGCCACACCGGCAATCGAGGACTTTTGCAAGGACGTGCTGGTCAACATAGACAAGCAGTTGGTTGGAAAATCCAAAAAGTTGGTTTTTATTTCTCACTTTGTGAGAGGAAAAATTGTTTCGTAGCGGTGTCTCGGATAATGGACACTTGATCTGTTTCATTAATTGAATAATGTGAAGCTGTGTACATTTTCCTTCATGATTTCCAGATTAATTAATATTTATTAATAGAATATACTGTAGTATTAAAATGAAATTCTGGGGGGAATAACGCGTTCATCGTTATCGAGACCTCCAACGTATTTTTTATTCACTCGAAAATATGCTGGCAGCAAAATTCGTCTCTGCGGTTTCGATCTTTTGGAAAGTGGGTATGGAATTTTTCCTTTTTCCTGCGGTCCATTATCCGAATCGAAATCGTCTGCAACCATATGTACGAAAATTGTATTTGTACGAAAACGGTTTTATGCGAGGCATTGCTGTTCGTGTAATTTTGTGTTTCCCTTTTGAAACTTCCGTTTGCCCAGAAAATGGGGGAAAAACTGAAATTGTCTGCATTATTTCCCCGTCAGGTTGATGGAGGACCCGAACTTCATCTTCAGAGCAATGCGACTCGTGAAGAGCAAGTCGACGCATTATCCTCAGTTTGACCCAGGGTGTCAATCCACTAGAATCACCGACTGTCTGATATTTGTGTTGGAACGCACGAAAGAGGATATGGTGAGTTTTTCGTTGAACCTTCTCTGAAGATGTTCTTCAAATTATAAATGGGGACAATTTCGAGAAAAGTTCTTCGTGGTCCTGGCGAGAATTCCGATAACACAGTTTCAGAGGAGCAATGAGGAAAAAAGAATAATTTTGTCGGTTTCGTTGTGTTTGTTAAATTTAGATTTAATAGATGGATGTTAAATTAATCAATTATTTCCCGACCAAATTCATTATATATCCTCGTGTATTTTATATCCATACGAAAATTCCGCATAACGAAGCGCACGCATAAATGGATTTGTTACGTGAAGTGGGGACCCACTGAATTTCTATTTTTGGGTAATCCGTATTTATCTTATTTTCAACTTGGGGGAATTTATTACTTTCTCCATTTATTTATTAATCTCCCCGAGTCGGTTTCGAATGTTATTCAGCATGTATTTGCGTAATTCAGATTACGAGGGCAAACCGAGCAACGAAGGTAAAAGCTGAGTCGTCAGAAACCACGGATACTGCGAACGCAAAGCCTTCCCAGGACTCCGCCGTCTTGCTGAACGGAAGTGCGATGAAGGAAGAGCCGGTGGATGCTAACTTGGAAGAAGAAATGGACGTGAATGAAATGGAAGAATCCAACTTGGCCCTAGTGGACGAAGTTGGAGACATGGACGAAGAAGACTTCGTTGCCGAAGAGCATAAACGGGAAGCCGAAGAGCAGATACACGAGGAAGTAATGGTGGATAACGAGATGGTGGAAGAAATTGCTCCCAAGATCTCTGTCGCGTGGCAGGAAGTGGGCAAGAAACTCCATTATAAGGAAGACGAGGTTTGTGCTTGTATTTCTTTCTGAAGATTCCAAGTTCACCGTGATGCTCGAATGCATTTCGTGAAATACTGTGACGTGGTCGTTATTCCGGATTCGAGCGACACCTGTCGAACTTTTCCGTGATTTTTTGCTTTTGGGAAAGTTAGGCAGGTGTCGCCTGTCTCGGTAATAACATGTTATTTCTGTATCTTGAGATAGTGTTGGGATGTTGGGGCAGTTTTATTTTTATTTATTTCAGCTTTCGTAAAAGGAATTTGTCTGTTCTCGGATTTGTTGTGCGGATTCAGTATTTTTGAATATGAATTCGTGTTCTTCTATTGTTTTTTTAGCTTGAGCATTTCCTAACCGAGTCAAAGGGAGACGCCCTGGAAGCTACCAAGACAATGTTGAAGAACTGGATAGAGGTGGAGGGAGAGGATGGGACCCTGGCGAACCTGAAGTACTGGTGCGCCGCAGTTGGCGTTGAGCTGTGACGGAGTTCGTGTCGAACACAGATTTTTCTACGCTGTTCTCTAAATCCTTGATTGGAAAAATTTGCTGTCATGTTAAACTTGCTGTGTTTCAATTGGATGTTGATGCGATGCGATATTCTAGGGATTTCTCGCTAGTCCTGCGAAAGACTTGGAGAGAAACCAATATGATGTTCTTGGAATTCTGAGAGCTTTGGATTTTTTCACAGTTGTAAAGCATAGCCAGAGCAGAGATTAATTTCAACATTACTATTTGTTCACTGCATTATTTTGAGCACGCTGCGAAAAGCAGTGCATTTTTGCAACAACAAAAATCCCAGCTCTCAGTTTCTCCATGAGAAAATATGAATCACATGCGCGTTAGCATGCATGATGCCTTTCAATCTCTGTGTACTTTGAAAGGCCTCTGTGATAATCATGGCCGCGTCTATTGTGCGTAGTGTCGCGTCGCGCGCTCTCCTTCCCCGCGCCGCGGTCTTCCGTAGCAGTGATTATGGCGTGCATACGATCAATCAGCAAAAAGAAGCGCCAACTGTGGAGAAATTGGAGAAGATCTTGCCATGTACCATGATCCCTGGCGACGGGGTCGGTCCGGAACTGATGCACTCTGTGAAAGAAGTGTTCAAAGCCGGTGGGGTGCCGGTGAAGTTCGACGAGTTGTTCTTCTCCGAACTCAATCCGTATCTGAGTGTTTCCGTCGAGAAGGTTGTGGAATCGGTTCTAGCCAATGGCGTGTGTCTCATGCATTACCTCAAGACCCCGGACACGTCTCCCACTGGTGAACTGGGTTCTTTGAACATGAAATTCCGCCGGGGAGTGGATTTGTTCGCGAATGTGGTGCATATCAAGTCGCTGCCGGGGGTTCGCAGTCGCCACAAGGACTTGGATTTCATTATTATCCGAGAGCAGACGGAAGGCGAGTACAGTGCTATGGAGCACGAGAGCGTGAAAGGGGTTGTGGAGTCGATGAAGATCGTCACTAGGGAGAAGAGTCGGAGAATCGCCAAGTTCGCGTTCGATTACGCGATCAAACACGGAAGGAAGAAGGTGACTGCCGTGCACAAAGCGAACATCATGAAACTTGGAGACGGATTATTTCTCCAATGCTGCGAAGAGGTTTGTTTTGAGTTGATTCCTTCTTTCGGCGAGACGCCACATCACACGCTTCTCGACAAAAAGCTCGTGTTGATGCGTTACGCGATCATGATTTTAAACCTGTTTTCACAGATTAGTCGATTGTACCCAACGATATCATTCTCAAATCTGATCATTGACAACTGCACGATGCAAATGGTGTCGAACCCGCACCAGTTTGACGTGCTTGTGATGCCGAATCTCTACGGCACCATTATTGATAACCTGGCTGCTGGTATCATCGGTGGAGCCGGGGTTTGCGTGGGGTCTTCTTACTCCACCACATCGGTGGTGTATGAACCCGGAGCAAGGCACACCTTTTCGGAAGCTGTGGGAAAGAACGTGGCGAATCCCACTGCGATGCTGTTGTGCTCTGCGAAGATGCTGGATCACTTGAACCTCCGGTCATACGCCGCCATGGTGCGGAATGCCGTGACCAAAGTGCTCCTTGATGCCAAGGTTGGGCTCTGTGATATATCGATAGATTTACGCGTTTGACCTCGATGACTC